GGGCCTAGCGTGTGCAAAATTGCAAGAACAAGGGCCTAGCGTGTGCAAAATTGCTAGAAAAAGGGCCTAGCATGTGCAAAATTGCAAGAACAAGGGCCTAGCGTGTGCAAAATAGCAAGAACAAGGGCCTAGCGTGTGCAAAATAGCAAGAACAAGGGCCTAGCATGTGCAAAATTGTCAAAACAAGGGCCTATCTTGTGCAAAATTGCAAGAACAAGGGCCTAGCGTGTGCAAAATAGCAAGAACAAGGGCCTAGCATGTGCAACATTGCAAGAACAAGGGCCTAACGTGTGCAAAATAGCAAGAACAAGCGCCTAGCGTGTGAAAAATAGCAAGAACAAGGGCCTAGAGTGTGCAAAATTGCAAAAACAACGGCCTAGAGAGTGCAAAATTGCAAGAACAAGGGCCTAACGTGTGCAAAATTTCAAGAACAAGGGCCTAGCGTGTGCAAAATTGCTAGAACAAGGGCCTAGCGTGTGCAAAATTGTAAGAACAAGGGCCTAGCGTGTGCAAAATAGCAAGAACAAGGGCCTAGCGTGTGCACAATAGCAAGAACAAGGGCCTAGTGTGTGCAAAATTGCAAGAACAAGGGCCTAGCGAGTGCAAAATTGCAAGAACAAGGGCCTAGCGTTTGCAAAATTGTTAGAACAAGGGCCTAACATGTGCAAAATTGCAAGAACAAGGGCCTAACGTGTGCAAAATTTCAAGAACAAGGGCGTAGCGCGTGAAAATTAGCAAGAACAAGGGCCTAGCGTGTGTAGAATTGCAAGAACAAGGGACTAGCGTGTGGAAAATTGCAAGAACAACGGCCTAGCGAGTGCAAAATTGCAAGAACAAGGGCCTAATGTGTGCAAAGTTTCAAGAACAAGGGCCTAGTGTGTGCAAAATTGCCAGGACAAGGGCCTTGCGTGTGCAAAATTGCAAGAACAAGGGCCTAGCATGTGCAAAATTGCAAGAACAAGGGCCTAGCGTGTGCAAAATAGCAAAAACAAGGGCCGAGCGTGTGCAAAATAGCAAGAACAAGGGCCTAGCGTGTGCAAAACAGCAAGAACAAGGGCCTAGCGTGTGCAAAGTTGCAAGAACAAGGGCCTAACGTGTGCAAAATAGCAAGAACAAGGACCTAGCGTATGAAAAATAGAAAGAACAAGGGCCTAGCGTGTGCAAAATTGCAAAAACAAGGGCCTAGAGAGTGCAAAATTGCATGAACAAGGGCCTAACGTGTGCAAAGTTTTAAGAACAAGGGCCTAGTGTGTGCAAAATTGCTAGAACAAGGGCCTAGCGTGTGCAAAATTGCAAGAACAAGGGCCTAGCGTGTGCAAAATAGCAAGAACAAGGGCCTAGCGCGTGTAAAATAGCAAGAACAAGGGCCGAGCGTGTGCAAAATAGAAAGAACAAGGACCTAGCAAGTGCAAAATTGCAAGAACAATGGCCTACCAAGTTCAAAATTGCGAGAACAAGTGCCTAGCTTGTGCAAAATTGCAAGAACTAGGGCCTAACGTGTGCAAAACTTCAAGAACAAGGGCCCAACGTGTGCAGAATTGCAAGAACAAGGGCCTAGCGTGTGTAAGATTGCAAGAACAAGGGCCTAGCGTGTGCAAGATTGTAAGAACAATGGCCTAGCGTGTGCAAAATTGCAAGAACAAGGGCCTAGCATGTGCAAAATTGAAATAACAAGAGCCTAGCGTGTGCAAATTTTCAGGAACAAGGGCCTAGCGTGTGCAAAATTGCAAGAACAAGGGCCTAGCATCTGCAAAATAGCAAAAACAAGGGCCTAGCGTGTGCAAAATTGCAAAAACAAGGGCCTAACGTGTGCAAAATTTTAAGAACAAGGGCCTAGCGTGTGCAAAATTTCTAGAACAAGGGCCTAGCATTTGCAAAATTGCAAGAACAAGGGCCTAGCGTGTGCAAAATTGCAAGAACAAGGGCCTAGAGAGTGCAAAATTGCAAGAACAAGGGCCTAACGTGTGCGAAATTTTAAGAACAAGGGCCTAGCGTGTGCAAAATTGCTAGACAAAGGGCCTAGCGTGTGCAAAATTGCAAGAACAAGAGCCTAGCGTATGCAAAATAGCAAGAACAAGGGCCTAGCGTGTGCAAAATAGCAAGAACAAGGGCCTAGCGTGTGCAAAATTGCAAGAACTAGGGCCTAGCGTGTGAAAAAAAGCAAGAACAAGGGCCTAGCGTGTGCAAAATAGCAGGAACAAGGGCCTAGGTTGTGCAAAACAGCAAGAACAAGGGCCTAGCGTGTGCAAAATTGCAAGAACAAGGGCCTAGCATGTGCAAAATTGCAAGAACAAGGGCCTAGCCTATGCAAAATAGCAAGAACGATGGCCTAGCGTATGCAAAATTGCAAGAACAAGGGCCTAGCAAATGCAAAATTGCAAGAACAAGGGCCTAGCGTGTGCAAAATTTCAAGAAAAAGGGCCTAGCGTGTGCAAAAGTGCAAAAACATGGGCCTAGTGTGTGTTAACTTTCAAGAACAAGGGCCTAGCGTGTGCAAAATTGCAAGAACAAGGGCCTAGCGTGTGCAAAATTGCAAGAACAAGGGCCTAGCGTGTGCAAAATAGCAAGAACAAGGGCCTAGCGTGTGCAAAATAGCAAGAATTAGGGCCTAGCGTGTGCAAAATTGCAAAAACAAAGGCCTAGAGAGTGCAAAGTTGCAAGAACAAGGGCCTAACGTGTGCAACATTTTAAGAACAAGGGCCTAGCGTGTGCAAAATTGCTAGAAAAAGGGCCTAGCGTGTGCAAAATTGCAAGAACAAGGGCCTATCGTGTGCAAAATAGCAAGAACAAGGGCCTAGCTTGTGCAAAATAGCAATAACAAGGGCCTAGCGTGTGCAAAATAGCAAGAACAAGGGCCTATCAAGTGCAACATTGCAAGAACAAGGGCCAACCGTGTGCAAAATAGCAAGAAGAAAGGCCTAGCGTGTGGAAAATAGCAAGAACATGGGCCTAGCGTGTGCAAAAGTGCTAGAACAAGGGCCTAGCGTGTGCAAAATTGCAAGAACAAGGGCCTAGCATGCGCAAAATAGGAAGAACAAGGGCCTACCGTGTGCAAAATAGAAAGAACAAGGGCCTAGCGTGTGCAAAATTGCAAGAACAAGGGCCTAGCGAGTGCAAAATTGCAAGAACAAGGGCCTAGCGTGTGCAAAATTGCAAAAACAAGGGCCTAGAGAGTGCAAAGTTGCAAGAACAAGGGCCTAACGTGTGCAAAAGTTTAAGAACAAGGGCCTAGTGTGTGCAAAATTGCTAAAACAAGGGCCTAGCGTGTGCAAAATTGCAAGAACAAGGGCCTAGCTTGTGCCAAATAGCAACAACAAGGGCCTAGCGTGTGCAAAATAGCAAGAAAAAGGGCCTAGCGTGTGCAAACTTTCAAGAACAAGGGCCTAGCGTGTGCAAAATAGCAAGAACATTGGCCTAGCGTGTGCAAAATTGCAAGAACAAGGGCCTAGCGTGTGCAAAATTGCAAGAACAAGGGCCTAGAGAGTGCAAAATTGCAAGAACAAGGGCCTAACGTGTGCGAAATTTTAAGAACAAGGGCCTAGCGTGTGCAAAATTGCTAGACAAAGGGCCTAGCGTGTGCAAAATTGCAAGAACAAGAGCCTAGCGTGTGCAAAATAGCAAGAACAAGGGCCTAGCGTGTGCAAAATAGCAAGAACAAGGGCCTAGCGTGTGCAAAATTGCAAGAACTAGGGCCTAGCGTGTGAAAAATAGCAAGAACAAGGGCCTAGCATGTGCAAAATAGCAAGAACAAGGGCCTAGCGTGTGCAAAACAGCAAGAACAAGGGCCTAGCGTGTGCAAAATTTCAAGAACAAGGGCCTAGCATGTGCAAAATTGCAAGAACAAGGGCCTAGCCTATGCAAAATAGCAAGAACGATGGCCTAGCGTATGCAAAATTGCAAGAACAAGGGCCTAGCAAATGCAAAATTGCAAGAACAAGGGCCTAGCGTGTGCAAAATTTCAAGAAAAAGGGCCTAGCGTGTGCAAAAGTGCAAAAACATGGGCGTAGTGTGTGTTAACTTTCAAGAACAAGGGCCTAGCGTGTGCAAAATTGCAAGAACAAGGGCCTAGCGTGTGCAAAATTGCAAGAACAAGGGCCTAGCGTGTGCAAAATAGCAAGAACAAGGGCCTAGCGTGTGCAAAATAGCAAGAATTAGGGTCTAGCGTGTGCAAAATTGCAAAAACAAGGGCCTAGAGAGTGCAAAATTGCAAGAACAAGGGCCTAACGTGTGCAACATTTTAAGAACAAGGGCCTAGCGTGTGCAAAATTGCTAGAAAAAAGGCCTAGCGTGTGCAAAATTGCAAGAACAAGGGCCTATCGTGTGCAAAATAGCAAGAACAAGGGCCTAGCTTGTGCAAAATAGCAAGAACAAGGGCCTAGCGTGTGCAAAATTGCAAGAATAAAGGCCTAGCGAGTGCAAAATTGCGAGAACAAGGGCCTAGCGTGTGCAAAATTGCAAGAACAAGGGCCTAGCATGTGCAAAATTGCTAGAACGAGGGCCTAGTGTGTGCAAAATTGCAAGAACAAGGGCCTAGCGTGTGCAAAATAGCAAGAACAAGGGCCTAGCGTGTGCAAAATTGCAAAAACAAGGGCCTAGAGAGTGCAAAATTGCAAGAACAAGGGCCTAACGTGTGCAAAAGTTTAAGAACAAAGGCCTAGCGTGTGCAAAATTGCTAGAACAAGGGCTTAGCGTGTGCGAAATTGCAAGGACAAGGGACTAGCGTGTGAAAAATAGCAAGAACAAGGGCCTAGCGTGTGCAAAATAGCAAGAATAAGGGCCTAGCGTGTGCAAAATTGCAAGAACAAGGGCCTAGCAATCGCTGGGTGCTCATAAGATTTTCCTTCCTTCCTATTCCGCAGGAGATGCATCTTTGGGGACGGAGCAGCAGATGAGGAGGAGCAGAGGAGATGCATCAGAGGAGGAGGACCAGAGGAGAGCAGAGCTGCACTGGCCCCCACCGCTGCTGGCCTTATGGAACCAGTATTGGCAGGAGCAAAGTGATGGGACGGCTACTGCTACCTCCCGCGCTCCTACCTCTCCCTTGTGCTGCTGCTGCTCGGGCGAGGAAACTGCTGCGTTGGAGGTGGAAAGGTGGTGCTGTGTTGGCAGCAGCAGCGGCTGCAGTGGGCCTGTCAGCAAACAGAAATCTGCAGCAGCGATAGGTGCTACCTCCCTCGCTCCTACCTCTCTCCCTTGTGCTGCTGCTGGGGCTACGAAATTGCTGCGTTGGAGGTGGAGAGGTGCTGCTGTCTTGGCAGCAGCAGCGGCAGCAGTGGGACCACCAGCAATACCAGAAAACTGCAGCAGAGACAGGTGCTACCTCCCGCGCTCCTACCTCCCTCCAGTGTGCTGCTGCTGCTGGTGTGATGTGATAGGATGCGAGGTTAAGTGGAGTGGAGCAGCAAAGGAGATGGCCAGCAACAAAAGGAGAGGCAGCAGCAGAAGAGAAGGCCATTGGTGACACCAGCGGTGGAAGCAGACGATGCTGCCTTAGGGCGTGTTCCTACGGCCCCTTATCAGGGGACCTCTTGTCAGACTTGTGCGGTTCAATGCGTTTCAGTGCGATCGAATGTTATTAAGAGTGTTTCAGTGCGGTGCGACGCGAATCTGACATGAGGTTCGCCTGATAAGAGGCTGTAGGAACACGCCCTTACTCCCGCGTGCTACTGCAGAAGAGCAGAGGAGACGACTGGCAGCTGTTGGGAGCAGAAGAGAAGGCCAGGTGCTAACTCCCTCGCTCCTACCTCCCGCCCATGAGCTGCATCAGAGGAGGGGGGGCAGAGGAGATGCATAAGGGGAGGAGGAGCAGAGGAGATGCATCAGAGGAGAAGGAGCAGAGGAGATGCATCAGAGGAGGAGGAGCAGAGGAGATGCATCAGAGGAGGAGAAGATGGAGCATAGGTGGAGCAGAGGAGGTGGAGAAGCAAAGGAGTTGGCTCAGCTGAGGAGCAGCAGAAGAGGAGACGAGGAGCAAAGTAGCGATGGAGCGAAGAAGCACAGTGCTTGAGTAAATATGTGATCCTCTTTCTTGCTTCTTATCTGTTCTGTTCGTTCAGGTGCATGGTTGCTGCCTTATTCGTTTCGCAAGTCCTTACTTTCTTGCCTTGTGCATGCTCAAAGTCTTTTCTTTCTTGTCGTTCCGTGCAAATGGGGCTATGCGCTCATCAGCCCTGTGCCTGCCTCTTCCCATTTCACAGCAGCCGACGAGACGGAGCAGCAGAGGCAACGGAGCAGCAGAGGAGAGGAAGGAGAGGCAAAGGAGTTGATGGAGAAGAGGAAGGAGATGGAGCATTGGAGAGACATGGAGCAGAGGGCACGGAGGAGAGAAGCCACGGAGGGAAGAAGGCCAAAGGAGCAGAGGAGCAGAGAACCGCGCAGCTGCGATTCCCCCCAACGCTGCTGGCCGCACGGAGGAGAGAAGGCACGGAGGGGAGAAGGCATGGAGGGGATAAGGTACGGAGGGGAGAAGGCACGGCGCGGAGAAGGCACAGCACGGAGAAGGCACACAGGCACGGCTGTGAAATTAACACCAGCAAGCTGCGAGCTGTTACTGCCTCCCGCGTGCTGCTGTTGGTGTTGTGAAGTTATGGGACGGCAGCTGCTACCTTCCTCGCTCCTACCTCCCTCCCGCGTGCTGCTGCTGGTGCTGTGAAGTGATGGTACAGCGAGCATAAGAGAGGCCCGCAGTGGGACCAGCGGTGACAGCAGTGGCAGCAGCAGTGGGAGCAGAAGAGAAGGCCGCCCTTCCCGTGTGCTACTGCAGAGGAGCAGAGGAGCAGCAATGGGAGAAAATGGTGCTGCCTCCCTTCCATGTGCTGCTGCTGCTGTGAAGTGGTGGAGTGGTGCTGTGAAGTGGTGGAGTGGTGCTGTGAAGTGGTGGAGTGGTGCTGTCAAGTGGTGGAGTGGTGCTGTGAAGTGGTGGAGTGGTGCTGCTGCTGCTGCATTGGAGGTGGCACCCGCAGTGACACCAGCGGTGGGAGTAGGGGAGAGGCATGCGGTGACACAACCAGTGGCAGCAGCAGTGCTAGCAGAAAGGGGAGGCCAGCAGTGACAAGCAGTGGCAGCAGCAGTGGAGGGGGAGTGGTGCTGCAGTGGAGGGGGAGTGGTGCTGCAGTGGAGGGGGAGTGGTGCTGCAGTGGAGGGGGAGTGGTGCAGCAGTGGAGGGGGAGTGGTGCTGCAGTGGAGGGGGAGTGGTGCTGCAGTGGAGGGGGAGTGGTGCAGCAGTGGAGGGGGAGTGGTGCTGCAGTGGAGGGGGAGTGGTGCAGCAGTGGAGGGGGAGTGGTGCTGCAGTGGAGGGGGAGTGGTGCTGCAGTGGAGGGGGAGTGGTGCTGCAGTGGAGGGGGAGTGGTGCTGCAGTGGAGGGGGAGTGGTGCTGCAGTGGAGGGGGAGTGGTGCTGCAGTGGAGGGGGAGTGGTGCTGCAGTGGAGGGGGAGTGGTGCTGCAGTGGAGGGGGAGTGGTGCAGCAGTGGAGGGGGAGTGGTGCTGCAGTGGAGGGGGAGTGGTGCAGCAGTGGAGGGGGAGTGGTGCTGCAGTGGAGGGGGAGTGGTGCTGCAGTGGAGGGGGAGTGGTGCTGCAGTGGAGGGGGAGTGGTGCTGCAGTGGAGGGGGAGTGGTGCTGCAGTGGAGGGGGAGTGGTGCAGCAGTGGAGGGGGAGTGGTGCTGCAGTGGAGGGGGAGTGGTGCAGCAGTGGAGGGGGAGTGGTGCTGCAGTGGAGGGGGAGTGGTGCTGCAGTGGAGGGGGAGTGGTGCTGCAGTGGAGGGGGAGTGGTGCTGCAGTGGAGGGGGAGTGGTGCAGCAGTGGAGGGGGAGTGGTGCTGCAGTGGAGGGGGAGTGGTGCAGCAGTGGAGGGGGAGTGGTGCTGCAGTGGAGGGGGAGTGGTGCAGCAGTGGAGGGGGAGTGGTGCTGCAGTGGAGGGGGAGTGGTGCTGCAGTGGAGGGGGAGTGGTGCAGCAGTGGAGGGGGAGTGGTGCTGCAGTGGAGGGGGAGTGGTGCTGCAGTGGAGGGGGAGTGGTGCTGCAGTGGAGGGGGAGTGGTGCTGCAGTGGAGGGGGAGTGGTGCTGCAGTGGAGGGGGAGTGGTGCATGCAGTGGAGGGGGAGTGGTGCTGCAGTGGAGGGGGAGTGGTGCTGCAGTGGAGGGGGAGTGGTGCAGCAGTGGAGGGGGAGTGGTGCTGCAGTGGAGGGGGAGTGGTGCTGCATTTGAGGGGGAGTGGTGCAGCAGTGGAGGGGGAGTGGTGCTGCAGTGGAGGGGGAGTGGTGCTGCAGTGGAGGGGGAGTGGTGCTGCAGTGGAGGGGGAGTGGTGCTGCAGTGGAGGGGGAGTGGTGCAGCAGTGGAGGGGGAGTGGTGCAGCAGTGGAGGGGGAGTGGTGCTGCAGTGGAGGGGGAGTGGTGCAGCAGTGGAGGGGGAGTGGTGCTGCAGTGGAGGGGGAGTGGTGCTGCAGTGGAGGGGGAGTGGTGCTGCAGTGGAGGGGGAGTGGTGCTGCAGTGGAGGGGGAGTGGTGCTGCAGTGGAGGGGGAGTGGTGCTGCAGTGGAGGGGGAGTGGTGCTGCAGTGGAGGGGGAGTGGTGCTGCAGTGGAGGGGGAGTGGTGCTGCAGTGGAGGGGGAGTGGTGCTGCATTGAAGAGCAAAGAGCAAAGGAGCACGGTGGTGGATAACTATTCACTGCCGATGGTGATTCTTCTTCTTTCTTTAGTTGTTCTGTTTGTTTGTTTGAATGGATACCGTTGCCTTGGTTTTGCATTTGCTCCGAGTTCTTACTTGGTTGGCACCAGGTGCAGTCAGTGCCTTGCACTCATCTGCCCTGAGTTTTTCTCCTCCCATTCCACAGAAGGACACAGAGGCGAGGGAGCAGCAGACGAGACCGATCAGCAGTGGAGATGGAGAGCAGACGGCTGCTACAGGCGAGCAGAGCAGACGGGTGGACTGCCTTGAGCGGGCCAGCGAGCTGTACCTACCTTTACCTACCTTTTGCTGCCAAGGAGCTCTGCAGGGGATGAAGCAGCTGTGAAGGGGATGAAGCAGATGGAAGCAGGGGAACACAGGTTGCAGAGTGGTAGGGGAGCAGAGTGAAAGGGGGAGCAGAGTTTGGGGGAAGCAGAGGAGAGGAGCAGAGGAGTTGGCGGAGGGGAGGAGAGCAGCGGAGAGGAGCAGAGAGGAGCACAGCTGCACTGGGCGCATGGAGGAGCCAAGTGAAGGCGCCAGCATTGGCACGAGCAATTTCGAGCTTTTACTGCCTGCTGCTGCTGCCTTGTGCTACCTCCCTCGCTCCCGCCTCTCTCGCCTGTGCTGCTGCTGCTGCTACAATGTGATGGGACTGCAGCCGCTACCTCATTCGCTCCTACTCTATCCCCTGTGCTGCTGCTGGTGCTATGGAGTGAAGGGACGGCAGCTGCTGCATGGGAGTGGGAGTGCCTGCAGTGGGGCAGCAGCTACAGGTGCTACAAAGTGATGGGATGGCAGCTGCTTCGGTGGAGGTTGAGAGGTGCTGCTGTGTTGGCAGCAGCAGCGGCAGTAGTGGGACTGTCAGCAATACCAGAAGACAGCAGCAGCAACAGGTGCTACCCCCCTCGCTCCTACCTCCCTCCAGTGCTGCTGCTGCTGGTGCGAAGTGATAGGAGGAGAGGTGAAGGGGAGCGGAGGAGCAAAGGAGATGGCCAGCAGCAAAAGGAGAGGCAGCAGCAGAAGAGAAGGCCATTGGTGACAGCAGCTGTGGCAGAAGCAGTGGGAGCAGCAGCAGAGAAGGTCCTCAGTGACACCAGCGGTGGCAGCAGAAGGGTTTGGTAGAAGTTGCAGCAGCGGTGGCGGCAGCAGTTGGAGACGAGACGACTGGCAGGTGCTGGGAGCAGAAGAGAGGGCCAGCTGTTATCTTCCTCGCTCCTACCTCCCGCTCATAAGCTGCTGCTGGTGCTGTGAAGTGAAGTGATGATGCAGATGAAGCAGACGATGCAGATGGAGCAGAAATGAAGCAGAGATGAGGGGGGAGCAGACAGCGGGGAAGCATAGTGTGAGGAAGGCAGAGAGAGGCAGAGTGTGGGGGGCAGCAGAGTGCGATGGAAGAGGAGGGAGGGAAGAGCTGAGTGCTTAGAACTGCAGCAGATTGCAGTGTGAGAGTCAGGGGATGGAGTGGGAGTTAGAGTGAGGGTGAGTGTGAGTCAGCTAGTGTTGAGAACTGCGGCAGGCTGCAGTGTGAGAGTGGGTTGGAGTCAGAGTGAGAGTGCGGTGTGAGGACCTTGTATGCTGGTTTGAGGCGCCTCAAATCCAGTTGTGAGCTGCCGGTGGCAGTTCTGTTGTGTCCTGCAGTGCACTGCAGAGTTCCGTTCCTCCTCTCTTCCCTTCTCTCAGTTTTGGGAGACATCTCAAAACTCACTAACCCTCTCTCTCTCTCTCTTCCTTACTAGACTAGTGAGTTTTGAGAGATGTCTCAAAACTCACGCCTTCCTCACTGCAGTTTAGCTGCAGTGAGCAAAATCAGGGTTTTGGGACACTGATGCCCAAAACTCTTTTGCATGTTCCTCACTGCAAATCTTCACTGAGCAAAACTGTACAGCTGGTCAGGAAGCAAGGATGGGCAGCATTGGATTTGATATCAATTTTCACCTGCCCCTGGGCAGTATCCAGGTTCCTGGTTCCGTTTGGTTTGGACCTCACTCTTTTGCTGTGTGGCAGGTATACATTCACTGGCACTTTCTGCTCCTTCAACTCTCTCTCTCGCGTCTTCCATTCTCTCGCTCATCTCCGTCCCACAGCCCCTCCCTCTCCCATCGGGCCCGTTCGTGTTGCTCATACTGATTTCGTCCCGTTGTCCCTTTTCCTTTAGGGTGTGGCGAAGCGTGGGTGCTCGGTGCGAGTGGGGCGGGACACAGAGGCCCAGAAGGAGAAGGCCCGCCAGCAACATGGGCCGCCGTGGTGGGGCTGGTTTCCATCCTCGGCCTCCCCATGGCTGCTGACCAAACCACGACGCTCATCCCTCCAAGTGCCTTACCCACCGCACGCACATCATGTGCTTGCGGCATTGATCTAATATCATGTGAAGCATGAAAGGTGACTAGGTGCCGCTTGCTTTGCTTCACAATGTTTCTTGTTGGATCGTTTCATACCGGTAGTTGTGCAAATTGTTTGAATTATTGTCGATCATGTGGTTGTGGCTGTTGTGTGCAGTGCGGATGTTTGTGTCCGCTGACGGCTGACGGTGCAGGTACGAGAGGAGGAAAGGAGTAAAGGGAGGAGGAAAGGATTAAAGGGAGGAGGAAAGGAGTATAGGGAGGAGGAAAGGAGTAAAGGGGGGAGGAAAGGAGTGAAGGGAGGAGGAAAGGAGTAAAGGGAGAGTAAAGGGAAGAGGAAAGGAGTTAAGGGAGGAGGAAAGGAGTGAAGGGAGGAGGAAAGGAGTCAAGGGAGGAGGGGATCACGGAGGCTTGAGCACCCCCCTCTTCCTCAACTGCCAGTCCTTCCATCCCCCCCCCCCCACAGCATCCGCCGTGGCAGGGCGCAGCAGAGAGCAGGGCGCAGCAGAGAGCAGGGCAGGGAGCGAGCTGAAGTGGGCGGGGTTGATGGCGGTGACCGGTTGGCGCTGGGGCGCTGGCGGTGCAGAAAACCTTGCCGCTACCACCCAGCCTTCCCCCCACCCCGCCACCAACCTCCTCACAGCTAGTGCCGCGGGTGGGGCATGGCAGGGCGGCGGGCAGGCAGGGAGCGCGCAGGGCGTTGGCAGGGCACGTCGGGGTCGCTGGCGCGCTTGCCATGGGTCGCTGGCGCGCTTGCCATGGGTCGCTGGCGCGCTTGCCATGGGTCGCTGGCGCGCTCGCTCGCCGCCATGGGTGCTGGCGCGCTCGCCATGGGCAGAGCGTTACGGGTGGGCTGCGGGCAGAGCGCGACGGAAACAATGCGGGGCACGACATGGCTGACAATCTGTTTAGAGCCGAGCTCACATGCGACGATTTTACAGCAGAACCATAATTAACTGCTGTTACTGTTGCCGCTTGCCACACTACATGCAATTTTCCGCGCTTGCAGAGAAATAAGCGAACTAAAATGTCGCCTTACAGCGACATGCGAGTGTTAGATGCGAGACTGATTACTACAGGTTGGCCTGATAGCGGGCCGTAGGAACACGCTCTTAGTAGGAGATAATATCATTTTGAGAAAGGGCATGGAGAGGGAATTGGAGATGGAGAGGATTCACTATAGTCGACAGGGTAAGCTAAGTTGAACATCTATTTGTTGGATTCACTCTGGAATCATTGATAACTCGATGCATTTGTATCTGGCCTACAAATACGCGGATGTGTAACCATTGAGTTACCATGCAGATGGAGCATCCCTTTTCTTGGTTTCTCCGTCACCTCACCTCGAACCGCTCCTGTCGTCATTGCTTGTTCCTCAGTAAGCTCGGTCCGCCATAGGTAGCTAGTGAGTCTCGTCTCCTTGACCTCGAATGTGTCAACTAAATCGTTTCTCATTTGCTCCAATTCCTTCGCTGCTTTCGATGGCTTTCGCGTCCTTCAATCCGCTGGGCAAATCCCGTGCGCGAGGACAAGGGGGATCGTCGAAACATGCGATTCCACCGTTGGATCTCGTCGTCCCGTCCATCTCGATCGTCCACCTGATCCGGTCGCAATCGCGCCATCGTTATGGGAAGACGCGATCGAGCGAGTTTTGTGGTCACAGCGAGCGGCTAGGTTTTCTTCCTTATACTGTGCCAGTCGCAATGCGTCTCAGGCTACCCGAGAATCTGAGGAACTCTCGAGTAGGCCTTCCTTGTATGGTGCCGGAGCAGTTGTTTATCCGTTTTTAGGAGCGAGTGAGAGCTCACAGAAACTGAAGCCGGACAATTGAGCACCACCTTTCTCCGTGAAGCCAGATGGAGCCTCGCGAATGGTAGAGCTGCACGAGCGTGAGCAGTACGCGACTGTATCGCACTGACGCTGTGCCGTGCTGTGCGATCCAGGCGACGACTGCAGCACCCACCCCATTGCGAGCCATTTGTAGCAGCAGCACGAAAAGCAGGAGCTCATCGCGGTATCAGCAGGACGAGCAGCAGCAGCAACACTAGCAAGAGCAGCAGCATCGTCAGCATCAGCAGCAGCAGCATCAGGCGGCGATGGAGAACGTGATGGTGGCGGGGAGTCGGTTGCGCAAGGAGCTCTCCGTGGCCGCATCCATCGTCATCGACGACGTACGCTCTCCGTCTCCTGCATGCATCCATTGCCGCTGAACCCATTCATTCTCAGCATCCTCTGTTGCTGATGCCATGGCATGCTCGCATCGCATCGCGGAGGGCTCTGAGATCGTACCATGCCTTGACACGCGACTTAGCAACCCCTTCCCCCTTCCATCCAACCCTAACTACAGGACGTCTCGGGCCCATCGGAGTCACACGGGCAGCTGCCGTGCGCCATCTGCCAGCAGGCCATCGGGGTGGACGCGGAGGGGCGCGAGTTCGTGCCGTGCGAGTGCGCCTACCGCATCTGCCGCCCGTGCTACGAGTACATCCGCGCCCACGAGGGCAACCGCTGCCCCCAGTGCCTCTCCAAGTACCGCCGCCTCGCAGGTGAGGCCCCCCCCTTCCCGTCCTCCTCCCTCCTGTTACTCTCCGTACTCATGATTCGCTCCACTAATTTTCAGAGTGAAGCACGTTACTCGTGCCTCTCCACCTTGCTCCTTCCCTTCCCTTCCCCTCCCCTCCTGCTCGCGTCGCTGCTTGCACTGCTGAATCCGGACCTTTCAGCCACGAATGTTCCCTCATTGTTTCTCGCTCCCATCCCATGCCATCCCACCGTATGTCATGTCCCCGTGCTGCTGTCTGCCGTGTCATGCATCTTGTCCGAGCAGGCAGTCCGCCAGTGGACGATGATCCACCAGAGGAGGTCATCCGCCATCTCGAAGAGTCCATTCCCGACGCCCCTGCGCCTGCCCCCCCCGCCATTGCCGCCCCTGCTCCCCCTCTCCCCAGTCCCTCTGCCCTCCCCGCACCCCACACCCTCACTTCCTCCCCTCTCCCACCGTCGTCCGTGCCTCTCGCCTCGCCACTCTCCTCCTCTGCGCCTCACCTGGCTCTGGAAGCCTCGTCGTCCTCCCCTTCATCTGCATCCCACGCGTCCGCATCACCAGCAGCAGGGCCTGTTGATGGTGGTGCTGGTGGTGGTGGCGTCACTGGTGGTGGCGTAGGTGGTGGTGATGCTGGCGCTAGTGCGGGCATTGGTGGTGGTGGGGGCAGTCCGGGTGGAGGGGGGGACGAGAGCCCCTCAGCAGGCAGTGCGGGCAGCCCCTCCAGCTACGGCTATGGCAGCATCGTCTGGTTCACCCCCCGCCGCCAGTGGTCCGCCTTGGCTCCTAGTGGGGAGGCTGCTTCTGCTGCAGGTGTTTCTGCTGCAAGTGTTGCTGGTGCTGCTGCGGGTGCTGCTGCTGCTGCTGCTGCGGGTGCTGCTGCTGCTGCTGGTGCTGGTGGAGGTGGTGTGGCTGAGGGTGGCCCCTCCACGGCCATTATCCCGGTGCATGATTCTAACACCTCTGCAAGCGGGGTAGGGGGTGGCGATGGGGGCCTGGGTGTGATGCCCAGTGATGCTGCTTCGGCTGACAGCTCGCCGTTCATGTGCGCACACCACCCTTCCCCACCCCCATGTTCTCGCCCCTCCCTCTCCCCCTTTCTTTCCAGCCACCCAATCCCTCCACACCCCCCATTCTTTCCTCTCGCATGCTCTGCCTTATCCTGTGTTGATAGTTGCACATGAGCCCACTTGTCGCCATCTCACTTTCCGATCTCTCCTCACGCCGCTGCTCTGTGCCATTGCCACTCCGCCACCTGTATCATCTGCTCTCCTCACTCTGCTCCTTGTTCACTGCCCGGCTCGTCCCTGTCGCAGAGTGGACGACACACGCCGCCCCTTGTCGCGCAAGGTGCCAGTGCCGTCCAGCATGCTCAATCCCTACAGGTGGGTAGCATGTGTGCACATACCATGCGCTGTCGCCGCCCTCCATCCCTTCCTCTCGCCCAAGCTCTCTTCCCATGACCCCTCTCTTGTGTCCAGTTTCCCCTTCCTCGCTCCGCACCTGAGCAAGCTTGTCAACGGCTCCTTACTAGCTCCTTGCACCTTCTTTTCGTTTTTCGATGTTTCGTTTTTCCCCTCTGCCACCCCTCGCCCCATGTGTGTGGCATGTGTATGCGGCACACGGGAGCAGGTTCGCGGTGGTGGTGCGCTTTGTTGTGATGATTCTATTCTTCAAGTTCCGAGTCACCAACCCCAACAACTCCGCCTTCCTGCTCTGGCTTGCCTCCGTCGTCTGCGAGATCTGGTTAGTTAATCACACATTGAATTCTGGTCTGCGAGATACGTTCAGCAGATTTCAAGATTAGTCTCTGTTGTTCCATCGCTTCCATGCCCTCAGTCCTGCCTCCTTTGTTAATCGCTTCTGCCTTGAATCTTTCTCTGTTCTTCTTTGGTTTTTCTCTTCTGTTGTTTTCACCTGGAGCCAGGTTTGGAATCTCCTGGATATTTGACCAGCTGCCCAAGTGGTCGCCGATCACGCGAGAGACCTTCCTCAACCGCCTCTCCCTCAGGTGCCTCCTTATTTTGCGTTTGGGGTTTGTGCTCGGGTGAGAAGAGAGGTTGTTTCAAAGTGCATCCACCCCTCGTGACAAGTCAACCCACCAATGCAGTCTTACATCATGCCACGCCACACCACATCTCCCCCTTCATCTCAGGTACGAGCAGGAGGGGCGGCCGTGCGAGCTGCCGCAGGTGGACGTGTTTGTGTCGACAGCAGACCCCTTCAAGGAGCCGCCGCTCGTGACAATCCACCCACCCATGCGCTCTTACATGCTGCCACGCCCCTGCCGCTGTCCCTCACATCCCCCTCACTCCCACACAGGTATGAGCAGGAGGGGCGGCCGTGCGAGCTGCCACAAGTGGACGTGTTTGTGTCGACAGCCGACCCGTTCAAGGAGCCACCTCTCGTGACGGCCAACGTGATCCTCTCCGTGCTCGCTGCTGACTACCCCGTCGACAAGTAAGCTGCCGTCACGCGGACCCGTAGAGTGCGCATGTGGGTGGTAGGACTGCTGGCAAGTGGATGAGGATGAGAGTGAGGTTCTCGTGAGGTGGCAGGCGGAATCTGAGAATGACGCGGAGAGTCATGCGACCTTTATGGATATCTGTCGGATGATGGTGCGTCTGTGCCGATAATAGAGTCTCTGCTAATCATTGCTCCCCGTCTCCCCCCTCTTCTGCCACCCTTCTCCCCATCCTGTACCCCCGCTCCCATCCCCAGGGTGGCGTGCTATCTATCAGACGATGGAGCGTCCATGCTCACATTCGAGGCGCTGATGGAGACGGCCAACTTCAGCCGCCTCTGGGTGCCGTTCTGTCGCAAGCACACCATTGAGCCGCGCGCCCCTGAGATGTACTTCGCTGGCGGGGTTGACTACCTGCTGGGGAAGGTCAATGCGGACTTTGTCAAGGAGAGAAGGCGGATGAAGGTGAGAGGTGGGGGAAGGATGAGGGTGAGAAAGTGGAGGAGGGGGAGAGACTTTTCGAGATGTACTTTGTTGGGGGCGTCGATTACCTGCTGGGGAAGGTCGATGCTGACTTTGTCAAGGAGAGGAGGAGGATTAAGGTGAGAGGGAGAGGGAAGAACAAGGGTGAGAAAGGGGTGGGGCGCCAGGGGGAGAGTGGGCAGAGATGTACTGTACTTTGCTGTTGGGGTGGAATACCTGCTGGGGAAGGTAAATGCTGACTTTGTCAAGGAGAGGAGGAGGATGAAGGTGAGAAAGGGGGAAGAAAGGGTGTGATGGGCGGAGAATGTGACTTTCTGGAAGGTATGAATGACCCCTTCCCCCTTCCCCCCCTCCCTTTCACCCACTCCCGCTCCCCCCCCCCTTTCAGCGCGAGTACGACGAGTTCAAGGTGCGCATGAACGCGCTGGTGGTGAAGGCGCAGGACAGCCCTCGCGACGGGTGGACCATGCCCGATGGCACTGCCTGGCCCGGCAACGACCGCTCCGACCACGTCGGCATGATCCAGGTGCGCTTCTGAGTGGGGGCCTGTGGGGGTGTGGGTGAGAGAAAGGAAGCCCATGGGCGATGTGATGAGCCGATCCTGTGGCACGTAAAAAGTGACAGGACCGGGTTCATGGGGCATGCTCCCTGTAAGGAGTGGTTGTGAAGGCAAAAGATATCGGCGCAGTCACGTGTGACGCAGGGAGAAGCGTTGCTGTTCCATTTCTATTTCTCTCCTTCTTCCTGGCCTCACCCCAGTCTCCCACGTTCTCCCATCGCCTGCCTCGTTTAAATCAGGTATTTCTGCAGCCCAACGGAGAGACTAAGGACGTCAATGGCGACCCACTTCCCTACCTGGTGAGCACACTTGCTCATACAACACGCACTGATGCCAACCTTCCCCTCCCTGCCTCTTGTCTACCTCGTTTCTCCGCTGGCCTCGTTCATCTCTGCTTGTCCTGTTCATGCTTCTCCTCCACTTGTTGCGCTCACATCTGGCCTTGCCTCGCTCCTCTCCCTCTCCCTTTCCACTCCCTGTGCCATGCAGGTGTATGTGTCGCGGGAGAAGCGCCCCAACTACGACCACAACAAGAAGGCTGGAGCCATGAATGCCATGGTGAGTGGGTGCGGCCTGGTGGGTGCAGCATGCATGCATGCCACCCGTGGTTGGTGCATGTACGTGGAGCCTTGTGCAGGCCAGTCAGTCCTTCCCCCATGATCATTCCTTCCATGCCTTGCTCCTTCTCCTCTCTCACAGCCCACCCGCCGCACCCATCTGTGCCCCATCCCCATCTGCACACCCCAATGGCGAGGGCCCATCAGATGAGGGCATCGGCGCTGCTGACCAATGCGCCCTTCATCCTCAACCTGGACTGCGACCACTACGTCAACAACTCCGCCGCCATCCGCGAGGTGGGGTGCCATCCATACCATAAGCTGCAGCCCCATGTGCGATGCCATGGACCAGGTCTACCACTGTGCTTGCCCGAGCTCGAGGCCGGGTTGATTCCCAGTCGTATAATGCGTGCTCCATTCACGATGTCATCTCAGCTCACCCATGGGCCTGCGTAACTCCCTCCCCTCCCCCTCCGCTCCCCAGGCCATCTGCTTCCTAGCAGACCCGCTGAAGGGCGGGCGGGTGTGCTTTGTGCAGTTCCCGCAGCGCTTTGATGGCGTGGATAAGAGCGACCGCTACGCCAACCACAACACTGTTTTCTACGATGTGAGCCCCACACTCTCTCATAGACCGCGCAATGTGGGTCTACTAATCTACGTCTGTCTGCACTGGCTCAAGCTGTCATGAACGTGCTTGTCATTCCCAGTAAGAAGACACTCAGCAGCTTAAACAACCCTGTCACCATCTCCCCACGGCCATGGCGTGCAGGTGAACATGAAGGGGCTGGACGGGCAGCAGGGGCCCATGTATGTGGGCACGGGATGTGTCTTCCGCCGCCAGGTGAGACTTGAAACGCAGTTGAGAACTCGGGCACAAGTCAATCTGTTTTGCCACCAGTTGCAAGGAGTGATTTGATTTCAAGCTCCCCATTCGACATCACATTGGCCCTCTTTTGCTTGTCATCCCCCTTCTTCCCCTCTCCCCCGCTTTTTCCTTCCTCCCCAGGCCCTCTACGGCTTCGACCCGCCCCCCAAGACCCCGACCAAGCGCCGCACGTGCTGCTCCCTCTGCCCCTCGTGGCTCTCCGGCCGCCCCTCCCCCGTGCGCCTGCCGTCCCATCTCGCTGCTGGCAGAGCTGCTGCTGGGGGAACACAGCAGGGGGGGCTGGGGGAAGATGGGGCAGGCGCGTTCACGTATGGGGGGAGGGTGAAGCTCCGGTGGTTTGGGCGCAGGGGGGGGAGGCGGGGGGAGGGGGAACAAGAGGGGTTGTCGATGGGGGGGATGGAGGAGGGGAGGGGAGGGCGGATGGGGGAGCATGGGGGGGAGGGGAGAGGGGGGGAGAGGGGATGGGAGGAGGGGGAGGAGGCGGCGTTGCTGCCGACTCGGTGGCATGTGAAGCGGTTTGGGCTGTGCCATAACTTCATCATGACTGTCTTTGATGGCGTGGGGGGGGCCATGGTGCGTGCTGCATTTGACGTAACGCTCGCTTCTCTTATCTGACTTTCCATTCTTTATCCAATGTGTTGTACAGTGTGCTTATCATGCTGCTAAATGGTTTATTTTTCTACCATGTGCCTTATCGCATCACTCGGGTGTTGTGCTACCATTTTCACATCCCCGTCCGCCCCCCCCCCCAATCATGGCCTGCCATGCCATGCTATGCGATGGCAGGCCACGGAGGACCCCCATGAGGTGTTGAGTGACGTCATCTTGGTGATCTCGTGTGGGTACGAGGACAACACCGAGTGGGGCACCAGTGTGAGTCGCACCCACCTTCTTTAATCCGGCGCTCGTCTCGTATCGCTGTTCCTTGTCCTTCCCTCACCTCCCTCAACTGCTCACTACTGCTGCCATAGCATCTCACCTTTGCACGCCGTGCTTCTGTCCCAACCAACTGAATCTCTCCCCCATGTTTTTCCTCGTGGTGGGTTGGGTTGGGCAGTGCGGGTGGGTGTACGGCAGTGTAACAGAGGACATAGTAACAGGGTACAAGATGCACACACGTGGCTGGCGCTCTGTCTACTGCATGCCGCCCCGCCCCGCCTTCAAGGTCAGCCTCAGACCCCTCCTCAGCCCTCTCCTCGCGCCATGCTTTCTTTCAGGCTTTCATCCCAGTAAACACGATGGATCGACTTATGCTCCCATGACTTATGCTCCCATGACTTATGCTCCCATGACTTATGCTCCCATGACTTATGCTCCCATGAGTCGACTTATGCTCCCATGATTTTCCCGCTCTCCTCTCTCCTCCCCTGATCGGCAACTCCCTCTCCACCAGGGCTCAGCACCCATCAACATGACCGATCGGTTGGCGCAGGTGCTGCGGTGGGCGACGGGGTCGGTGGAGATCTTCTTCTCGCAGCACAACCCCGTGTGGGCCGACTGCTGCTCCCACCTCAAACCCATCCAGCGCATCGCGTGAGCCTCCCGTCCACCCCCCCCACGCCCACTCCCTTCGCCCTCTCACTCCCCTCTTCCCTCTTTCCTGCCGCGTCAGCTCCCCCACCCACGCACCCCCCCTGCGTTGCTGCATCAAGCCTCTTGTCCTATCTTTGCTGCATCAAGCCTCTTGTCCTATCTTTGCTGCATCAAGCCTCTTGTCCTATCTTTGCTTCATCATTGCGCTTTTCACGATCCGTGGAGAGCTGTCTCAGTTTCAACATGCCCCCTCTCCCCCCTCTCCCCTCTCCCCTCTCTTCCTCCATCGCAGCTACATGAACACGGCGCTGTACCCGTTCACGTCCATCGCCCTCACAGTCTACTGCTTCCTGCCCGCCATCAGCCTCTTCTCCGGCCAGTTCATCGTGCCCAATGTGAGTGCGCTGCCACTGGTTTATGCACTTGTGATTTCTGATATTTTGCAGACTCTGCTGAGTGTGTTTACGATGGCTTGCATTCCTGCACCTGCAAATTCCCCGCCTATGTTGCACCTGCACTCCCCCGCCTCATGCACGATCGCCCCTGTGCGTGGTGGCAGATTGACAACTGGGCGGTGCTCTACTTCCTCGCGCTCTTCCTCATCTTGTTTTGAGGCGTCTCAAACCTCCCCTGTCCGCCCATGTCCTCCCCCCTGCTCATGCACGATACCTTCTCTGTGCATGCATGCAGATTGACAACTGGGCGGTGCTTTACTTCCTCGCGCTCTTCCTCTCCATCTTCGCCACTGCTCTGCTGGAGATTCGCTGGAGCGGTGAGCGCACAAGTGTTTCCGCCATGCACTGCTGTTGCCACTCAGAGCGCTGCACATCATTTATCTTAGTTAAGTCTTACCTGTGGGGCCACCATCCAAGCTTGTTGTGCTGCTAAACTCTATTTGCCGTTGAAATGGGCAGGAGTGTCGTTGGAGGAGTGGTGGCGCAACGAGCAGTTCTGGGTGATTGGAGGCACCTCTGCACACTTTGCCGCCGTCATGCAGGTAATGCGGTGCAGTGGATTGTGCTGCGGTAGTGTGTGGTCTTTTGATGTGGTGCAACATCAGCCAATCGTGATGACCACTTCTTGGTTCATTCGTCCTGAGTGTTAGTTATTCCTTCAAGAATCTCCTTTGCGTCTCTGTGTCCTAAACATCCATGCGGTTGCATGCGTGTGTCCCACCCTTTTTTATCCCCCACACCCCCACCATGCGCCCATGGATCCATCGACCCCTCTTTCTACCTTTCAAGATTGCCAAGCTCCTCCAGGTAACCCTCCACAACCCCCCATTCCCTCGTTCAGCCTCTGAAGCCCCTCCCTCCCCTTCTTCTCACATCCCTCCCAACCCCACACCACCGTATCACTGGCATGGTGTGCACAGGGGCTGCTGAAGGTGGTGGCGGGGGTGGAGGTGCATTTCACGCTCACCTCCAAGGCCTCGCAGGACATGGAGGATGAGCTCGCAGAGCTCTACACTGTCAGGGTAAGCGCTCACCCGCATGCCACAAGTCAGAGCTATAGCCATAGGCAGTGTTGCAGTGCAGGCTTTCACTGAGCACCATGTTCCACGCTCACCTCCAAGGCCTCCCAGGACATGGAGGATGAACTCGCCGAGCTCTACACTGTCAGGGTAAGCTGTGAGCGCTCACCAGTAGCTGTAGACGCGGAAGTTGTTGCAGCGCAAGCTTTCAGTGTTGCAGGGCAGGCTTTCACTGCGCACCGTGCTGCATGCTCACCTGCTCTAAGTCCTTTCAGTGAGCTTGCTGAGCTCTACACTGTCAGGGGTGAGCCCTGAGCTCTGAGACACATGCCGTTCGCCGTATAACTGTCAGTGCTGTAGCAGACTCTCATTGCACACCTGGTTTTCACATTCTTGGTCATCGTTCTTGTCCACTCGTTTCTCTCCCTCTCTGCTTCTCCCCGTTCCCTTCCCCTTGCTTCTCCCATCCCTCTCCCCTCCACCCATCCTCCCTCCCTTCTCTATTATGCAGTGGACATGGCTGTTCCTCATCCCGCTCACCATCATCATTGTGAATGCATTTGCCATCCTGGCGGGAGTGGCGCACGCCATCAACAACTGGCAGTCCACCGACTCCTCTATCAGCGGATACGGCCACCCCATCAAGGCGCCCACCTCCAATGCAGACCAGATCGGTAAGCTTTACCCATCTAGGCGGTTGCATCTCTTGCATGTGCCGCTTTGGCTCCGTTGCTAGTGCTTTGATGTGCCCCTCATGTGTAATATTGTTTCTGGCGTGCAGGTCAACTTGTCGGCCAAGTGTTCTTCTCTGTCTGGGTTCTTCTGCATCTGTACCCTTTTACTAAGGTGAGGTCATGAACTAGTTTTATATATGTGCTAGTTTTTGCCAACTGTCACTGATTGAGGAATTTTATCTGTGGCTGGCAGGGTTTGATGGGTCGAAGCAGCCGCATGCCGACGCTTGTCATTGTCTGGGCTATGCTTCTAGCGATTGTGCTGTCCCTGCTCTGGGCTCGTATTTCAATGACTTAGGTTGCATTCGAACCAAAGCATGAGTTGTACATGTACACGGTTTTATATTAGAGTGTACACAAATTCTCTGGCACGCAACGATGCAGCTATTAGCGAATCACTTGGTGGCAGCAAGTCAATCGCCGAGACCGACCGTTAGTGCGTCGCGAAGAATAACGGAAACTCTCCTCTCAGCTCGACGAAAGTCGCTCGTCGCCAGTTGGTCGCCCAGTGTGCAGTCGTCGAAATCCACCAATCACAGACCTCAGTTAATCGACCTTTTCGCGGTTTCCTCCTTCCCTCCGGACCGCATTTTTCCTTCCATCCACCTCCAAACACCGAACCGCACGCGCTCAATTTTCAAAATCCACTCACACAGCAAATTGCCCTCCTCTCCTCCCCCATACGCGTTCAGCGAGTCAGCGCCCTCTCAAGTGCCACCGCCTTGTTCTTTCACTGCTTGTTCCATTTCTTACCCTTCACTCCATTCCCCGAAACACACGGCCCACATTTCAGTTGAACGACACTGTTGCAACAGTTTACAGACATCCTTAGGGTGAATGTGGCGAAAAGCGAAGCATTAGCTCCGTCTCAAAAAATTGTGTAGCAATCACCAGACGCTATCGTTTTCACTTCGCCTTTAGAGGTAGCGGAGCAAGCATCAGCAACGGTAGACAACCCAGAACTCTTATCGACGCTTGTTGGCTCGACGCAGAAGTCACATAATAGTAGTATAGAAAGTATCCTCTCCATAGCATCGGCGTCTCTGCCAGCCCGCCATGGACGCGCGTCGCGTATGCACGAACGTTGCGGCATTGGCGCTGGTGCTGCTCGTCGCGACACCCGAGATCATCTCTGACTCAGGCTTCCAGACCACCAGCGCCGTCCCCTACCGCCGCGAGCTAAGGTACCAACCTAGCTGTAGTAAAAATTGGCATGACTTGTAGGTTGGGAGAACCGTAAAGAAATCGTACTTTTCGTCTTCCTTCAAACGGAAGCTAATCTCACTTCTTCCAATGCGCTCCTCCCGCTCCGCACGCGCAGAAAGCCTCAAGGACCGCTGCAATACAACGTGCAGGAGACCATGCAGCTGCTGCAGGAATCAGCCTCACTCGTCAACCGCGCCGCGCACCTGCTGCACGCCGATGCCTCCCCCCTCGCCTCCTCCTTCTGGCTCCGGCCAGCCGCCGTCGCTGTGGGCAGCCCGGCCGGGGGGGATGCGCGCGCTGGGGAGGCGGGGGGGCGCAAGTACTACGTGAATTTGGTGCAGACGGGGCGCGCGCTGCAGAACGCTGTGGTGCTGCTGCGGCAGAAGCAGCGGCGGCTGGTGATGGGGCAGATCAACAACGCCATGGCCGCGATTGACGGCGTGAAGGTCGTGCTGGTGCCGCGCGAAGATCGCCAGGTGTTAGAGCATCTCAACGTCGCACGGCGATTCGCAGAGCATGCGAAGCTGTCGTTCATGGGGCAAGAACAGCGCGATTGAGTCGCAGAACCGTCGCACGCCTAGTTCGTGTGTGCATAGCACGGCATGAAAGAGCGAGCAGCAGCAGAAGAGATTATCTCAGGAGCCCTTAAGGAAAAACAGGGACACTCTTTGTGTCTTATTTCGATTATGTCAATTAGCCCCCTCCTGGCTAATTCAGGCACCTATACTAGCATTCTATGGTACATTGTTGTAGCCATTTCTTAGCTTGACATTTCATAGCTGGCTCTGACTCGAGATACCCGGCTTGCCTAACACTGACAATGTTCATTGCATTAAAACACAGCCTTTACAATGAGCTTATTGTGGCGCCTGGCGCTTAACAGCCAGCACCGAGAAAGGACGGATGCTGGATTGCTCATTCCGCCGCACACCCCGTCACCCACACCACTACCACTGCACCGCTATCTCCTCCTGCTACTCCGCATGGTGACAAGGCGAGTGAGGTGCCTCTTGTGGTCCAGCTGCTGCACCTCCTGCACCAACTCCACGTCAGTGAGCGCCAGATACCGCGTAATGCTGGCTGCACCGGAGATTACTAAGGCACCTCAAAAACCACACTACACCACTCTACACTGCTATCTCCTCCTACTGCTCCGCATGGTGGCGAGGCGAGTGAGGCGCCTCTTGTGGTCCTGCTGCTGCACCTCCTGCACCAACTCCACGTCAGTGGGCGCCAGATACCGTGTAATGCTGGCCGCTGCAAAGCCAGGCAGCAGCGTTGCCACTGTGGCGAGCAACACTATGAGGTAATAGGCGGGGCGCGGCAGCAGCATGGGCGCCATGCCGTAGAACGAGGCGGAGAGCGTGGCGGGCACGTAGCTGACGATGGCGAGGAAGATGAACCAAAGGGCGATGGAGCCCCACACGGCCATGTGGTGTATGACCGTCCAGTACTGGTGGGGGTGGGAAGGGGTGGTGAGAGGGGAAGAGGGTGCTGACTGAGTTTCACACAAGCCACAGGATGAACCAAAGGGCGATGGAGCCCCACACAGCCATGTGGTGCATTATCTTCCAGTACTGGTGGGGGTGGGAAGGGGTGGTGGTGAGAGGGGAAGAGGATTCTGAATGAGTTACACAAGCCACAAGAGGAACCAGAGGGCGATGGAGCCCCACACGCCCATGTGGTGTATGAGCGTCCAGTGCTGGTGGGGTTGGGAAGGGATGGTGAGAGGGGAAGAGGGTGCTGTGCTGACTGAGTTTCACACAAGCCATAAGAGGAACCAGAGGGCCATGGAGCCCCATACGGTTAACTGCGAGCACGAGGGCAGTGAACAGAATGGAGCCGTGCACCGTGAGGTCCAGCACGCACCTTTTGAGGCGCCTCAGAAGTGAGTCAACTTACAGAAGGGGCACACGGGGCTGACCTGGATGGTGATGGCGAGCTCGAGGTTGACAGCGAGCACGAGGGCAGTGAAGAGAATGGAGCCCTGTGCTGTGAGGTCCAGCACGCCCTTTGAGGCGCTGCAAATGTGAGGCAACTCAAGGGGCAGAAGATGCAAAGGGGCTGACCTGGATGGTGATGGCCAGCTCGAGGTTGACAGCGAGCACGAGGGCAGTGAAGAGAATGGAGCCCTGTGCTGTGAGGTCCAGCACGCGCCCATCAGCCCCGGAGGAGGAGAGCAGCAGCGGTAGGAAGGAGACCGCAAAGAGAATTGCCGCCTGCACCATGCCCTTGCCCATCGCCATGCCGATCGCCCCCACGGTAAACAGACGGTTGCGCTGGCTCTGATGGTGGGGCAGGGGGGTGTGTGGGGGGGTCAAGAAAATTAGTTTGTGGGGAGTTTAGCAGCAGGAAGGGGGTTGTGAGGAGAATAGCCGCCTGCACCATGCCCTTGCCCATCGCCATGCCGATCTCCCCCACCGTGAAGAGCCAGTTGCGCTGGATCTGGTGGTGGGGAAAGTGAAAGTGGGGTCAGAAGAGATCAGTTGGCGTTTGAGAGTTGGCACAAGTCAGAAGAGCGGTAAGGGGGAGGGGTGAAAGGGAGCAGGTGGGAGACAAAAGGGCTGGCTTGGAGGGCTCGAGGGTGGAGGGAGAGGGGAAAAGGGAGAAGAGAGAGGAGAGAGAAGAGAGGGGGAAGAGCAAGTGGAGACGCGCCCTCACCTGGGCGTAGAGGCGCGGGTATCTGAGGTGGTAAATTGCCTTCACGTCTTGGTCGAACGCTCCCACCGCTGCCACGGGCAGCGATGAAAACAGCACTTGGAACAGCACGAGCAGCCAATCAACGTACACCGCGCTGCCCGAAAACAGCGCGAGCCCGTTGAAGAAAAAGATGGTGAAGGCGAATGTGTGACACTTGTATAGAAAATATTTTATCATGTATGTAATTCGAGTGTAGCTCCACGCGCCGTGCACCAGCAGCAACCGCACTACAAACCGGAACTGCCCGATCGCAAAATCAGCAGCCATAACCGCCTGCTGCCCCTCCTCCCCCGCAATCCCCACACCGATATGCGCCTTCTGAATCATCCCCACGTCGTTCGCGCCGTCACCGATTCCGAGCGTGATCATCCCGCCCTCCGAGCCTACGAGCTCCGTGACCTGCGCTTTCTGCTTGGGCGACACGCGGCAGCAGATCACGGACGCGCACGCGAGCGCGGCGCGGAGGAAGTCGCTGCGCAGAGCGGCGTCCGCCAGCACGTGCGTGAGCGCCTTGCCGTCGATGATCAGCGCGTGCGGCGCGGCGTGCGAGGCGCCCGGCGCCGTGGCGGCGGACTTGGCGGAGAGGATCTGCCCGCGGATGGCGCTGGCTGCGAACTGGAAGGGGAGGGTGGGGGTCAGAGAGAGGAGAGAGAGGATGGGAGAGGTTAGGCCATGCAGCAAGACTTGGCGGAGAGGATCTGCCCGCGGATGGCGCTGGCTGCGAACTGGAAGAGGGGAGATAGGAGGGGGGAAGGAGGAGAGGATGGGGGAGGTGTTGGTAAAGCTCAGCCGCTAAGCATTAGCAGCAGAGGTTAGGCATGAGGTGCTTCTGCATGTGTGAGGTTAGGCCGTTTCTGGGCGATTGACAAATGCAGCAAGCAGCAAGCGCATGCCACGCCCCCCGTCCCACGCCCCAGCACCCCACAGCACCCCACAGCATCTCACCTCTGCAGGATCCGCGCCAGCAGCAGCGGGAAACGCCACGTGCTGCTGCATACCCGGGCGCAGCAGCTACACCTCAACAGAGGCAAATGCAACATGCAACATGCAGCAAGCCAACACCACTCTCACCTCTGCAGGATCCGTGCCAGCAGCGGCCGCATCAGCAGCAAGCCCGTCATTATCTTCGAGGAACGCCACGTGCTGCTGCATGCCCGAGAATCACACCCCAGCCCCCCCACAAGGCCTCACCTCTGCAGGATCAGCGCCAGCAGCAGCGGCGTCAGCGGCAAGCTTGTCATTATCCTCCAGAAACGCCACGTGCTGCTGCATGCCCGGGCGCAGCAGGCGGCATGCGAAGCCGATGTTGACGGCCGTCTCGAGCTTGTCCCCCGTCAGCACCCACAGCCGGATTCCCGCTGCTGCCATGGCCTCTATGGCCTGTGGCACCCCCACCTGCCGTGAGGGGAGAATTGTGAAGGAAAGAAACTGAGATGCAAGCACCAACGATGTTGACAGCCGTCTCGAGCTTGTCCCCCGTCAGCACCCACAGCCGGATGCCCGCTGCTGCCATCGCCTCTATGGCCTGTGGTACCCCCACCTGTCATGGAGGAAGGGTGGTGAAAGGGGTAAGAGATTTCAGTTTGAAGATTCTCAAGAACAGCTTGTCGCCTGTGAGCACCCACAGCCGGATTCCTGCTGCGATGGCTTGAGGCAACCCCACCTGCCGCGAGGGGAGGGTGGTAGAGGGTATGAGATTTAACTCTCAACAGAAGCTTCTGCTCACCTGACACCCAAGCACTTGACACGCACACCGCCCACCCATGCACCCCAAGCGCGCACCTGCAGCTTGTCTTCAATCGCGGTGGCGCCCAGCAGGATGAGCCCCCGCTCCATCTCGTCCGCCAATCCCTCCAGCTCCGCTGCCTGCACCGCCACGTCCGCCATGTTCGCCTTGGCGCTCTCCCACCGCGCCTGCCATGCCATGGAGCAATGCAGCGCACACGCGATACAAGCATGTGAGTCTCTCTCTCATAAAACGCCACTAAATGCCGTGGGCCGTGAGTGGTACCATACATGCGCACTCAGTGCCATGGGTGATCTGTGTGCATGGCATGTCATGTGCATTGGGAGGCCTATGAGGCACATGCACGCACTTGTGCACCCCTCTCCTCTCTCCCCTCCGCCCGCCTAATCCGCACCTGCCAGCTGGCATATTCCTCCTCGCCGATCTCCTTCCACGCGATTGCCAGCGTGCGCAGCCCCGCTTCCGCATACGTGCGCATGTGCTGCTCCGTGATTGGCCGGTGCCTCTGCGCCTCCTCACTGCCGCCCAGGCGGTCCATGATGATGTTGTCCGCGCCCTTGCACAAAAGGACAAGATTGCCCTCCGGCGTGCGCACGATCACGCTCATGCGCTTCCTGTATGGAGAGGGTGATTGGAAAGGGGGGAACATGGGGGTATGGTGAGGACGGTGCAGGTGCGACGGCAAGGGGGATGACGGAGCCAGCGCAAACAGCGCACGCTGTGCCTAGCACACGCGCCATACCCGTGCCTTACACGCGCACGCGCACGCCATACCGGTGGCTGGTGAATTCGATGGTGTGCAGCAGCGTGTAGCGCCGCTCGTCCTTTAGCACCCACCCCTCCGCGAATTCCTGCACGCGCACCTCGCGCCCCTGCCGCCCCGCGAACACCATCCCCATGCGCTTCCCCGCCACCACGAACGCCGCCTCGTCGGGGGACTCCGCAAGGTACCGCACCGCGTCGGGATCCGTGCTCACCGATCCTACCCCCGAGACTTCCCCCGCGCCTCCCCCGGTCATGTCGTGATCGCTCCCCTGCTCCGCCCTCGTTGCCCCCTGCCTGGCGCCTTCGGATGATCCCAAGGAGTGGAACGAGTCTTGCGCGCTGCGCGCGTCGGCCGTGTGGTAGCTCGACATGCTGCCGCCCAGGCTGCGCATGCTGCCGCCCACGCTCACCATGCCGCCGTCGTCGCGCCACATGGCGGCCTCGTATTCGTCGTCGTCGTCGCTGCTGCTTTCACCGTCGCCTACGTGCCCCGCTGCGCCCGCCTCCCACCCCTCCCCCACACCACCCCCCGCGCCGCCACCACCGGCGCCGCCCGCCTTCCCCACACCTCCCGCCGCATCTGCCGCGTCGCCCGTGTCTGCGATCACGGTGTGGCACACCGACATTACCTCCAGGAACCTCCTAATCTCCGCGGCCGTCGGCTGCGTCCGCCACTTGAGATCGTCCAGCCGGGGGTCCTTCATGTTGTACCCCTTTTCCAGTGGCTTTAACGGGGTGTATACCCCCTCCTCCCCCTCCGTCTCCTCGTCCTCGTCCGGGATTGGCTGGCCCATTCTCTGCGCCGCCGCTTTCTCTACCTCCGTCACTCCCGTGCCGTACGCTATCCCCGCTATAGAGCACTTGAAGAAATCCATCTGGTTGCGAGTTAACGTGCCCGTTTTATCCGACAAAACGGTGTGCACCATACCGAGCTCCTCGTTAAGGTTAGAGGTGCGCGCTGTAGTGGGGATATCCTTCTCCTCGTAATACATATGCAGGTCAAGCGCGATCGTCGCAGCCTGCACTAGCTTCACCAACTCCATAGTCACATACAGCGATATAGGCACAAAATACCCGTATAGCACGAGCGCGGTGAAAAACTGCATGAATCCCGCCAAAGCCGGCTGCTGCCAGTTATACATCGCCTTAGCCACGCCCGTCACGCCGGTGTAATCCTCGGGCCGCAGGTACCATTGCTGCGGCATGTACTTGCCGAGATACACGCCGTACATCACGGAGGAGAACGTCGCCAGCCCCACCAGCACCACCAGCTCGAACATGATCACGAAATCCAGTCGCTTTTCCACGAAGCTTCGTTTGGACGGCGGATCGGTGGAGTTCATCATGATCTTGGTCTCGCGGCCGGTGTATACGACAATCCCCACCGCCCACTTGGTGTTGCGCAGCCGCGAGCCGCGCAGGAGAATATTCGCCGGAGTGATGAAAATCGGCGCCGCGTCACCAGACTGGCTGCCTTCGGAAGACTCGATGTCCGCGCTACTATCACTCCTCCCGCTAATAGCACCCTCGGTACTCGTTCTAAGCAGCATTTTCCCCGCGAAAGTGTAGATGGACGCGTTCGGATGCTCGTATTCGACGCGCCCGCGCACGCGCGCGAGTTCCGCCGCGCTCATCGCGTGCGTCTCGAAGACCGCGCTGCGCATCTTAAGGTTCGTCTCGCCGTCCAGATTCATTGTTTCCACGTAGCACGCGCCGCCGTCGCCGCTCGTCGCGACGCAGATGATGTCGGCGGGCAGGAAGGCGTCGTGCGGCACGCGGATCAGCTCCCCCACGCGCAGATCGCGCCATCGCCGCGTCGCCTCCGTGCCGTCCGGCCGTATGACCGTTGCTTTCCGCTTATTCGTCTCGTAATCGGAGCTCCCCCGCTTAATATCCTCCCATAGCTCCTTAGCCATGGCGAGACCGACAACGAACACGAGCGGCGGGACTGTCGCCATGGGGCTGATGGAGGAGAGCGGCGTGAGCGAGACGCACGCGTGGAAGAGAAAATACAAGTTGGCGACGCGGCGGAATTGCTCAAAGAGGCCGCGGGGGAGGAAGGTGTACCAGGTGTACTTGGTGGTGTAGATGCGGTTGCTGCTGAACCCGAACTCGTCGTTCCCCTCCGAGTCATTCACGAATAAAACGCGACTGGGACCCGGGTCTTTTTTTCTGAAAAGAGAGCGCAACCAGTCTCTAAACTGCCCCATTTTACGATACGGTCGATGCCGGGGCTAGTTTTCTGCAGGCGATTGTTTTGCTGGACGATGAAGGCAGGGGAATGTCTGCGAGAAGCAACTCGAGGCCAAGGCAATTCTTGGAAGCAGGACCACACAGCAGTTGCGAGGTTCTCGTCGATAGCGGCCTAGTACATAACAAGGAATAGGGAAGATCTGATGAGAAGACTGCGGTGTGTTGTTAGACCCTCAGGTTCAACAATCTTGCATCAGCGAAGGGATTATACCAGTTAGTGTTTGAGTATCAAGGGAACAAGGGCAGAGGCAGGTGGGGGGAGACTGCCGTGTTTTGTAAGACAACCTGTTCTGGTGTGGTTCGCGTGGGGGGGACTCACCACACCACATGCTGTGTGTGCGAGTGAGCCTCCAATAATTGTCGAGCAGATGTGGAATTCAGAATGGGGGCTGATAATGGCCCAATAATTTCAGTTTGGGAAGGCGTCGCGCGGTCCGTGATCTTGATGTGCGCTTGTGAGTCCGACGACCTCTACCCAGCGGGGGGTGGGGGGGGAGCAAGGAAGCAGAGCTGACGCAGATTCCTTGGCGGAGTCAGCCAGGTCAACGGGTCCACCAAACCACCCAAACTACACCGCCGAAGTCGAAGGAAGCGCCTTATCAGGCTAACACGACTAGTTTATTTCCATCACGAATCTGACAAATGCACGGAAACAATTTTTGCAGGTAAGTTGGTATTAGTAATAATTCTGAGACACTTACTTTCGAACAGTTGCCAGCTTATTCTCCTAAGATAATATGTAGGCCAAGCATGCTGACACATGCATAGCGCCTGGAGTAAACAAATGCTTCAGAGGTTCTATCTACCTCACAGATCCTAAAAATATGTTGAAGCACAAAATTCACACATTTTAGCACATATAGAGGTCCATCATATGTGGCACGGCGCGCCCTCATTCAGCGGACAAGACTCTTCCCGCGCCCAAAAGTGAACCCACGGGTGCCGTCGGGCACACGAGGCCCAGCAGGTGCCACCGCACCTATCGCAGGGCCATTAGTGCCTGGATTAGTGGCTGCGGTGGAATAAGGTAGGTAAAGCTCCAGAGTGCGAACCACGCCCCCAGGAGCACCAATAGCAACTGTCGTGGCAGTTTTCCCACCAGCCCTCTTCGCATCCAAGCCACGGCCATGGCCCACAGAGGCCTGCGGCTGCTCCAGCTTTTGCCGCACCCAATCATCAGCCTCGGCCGAACCTCCTGCCTTGCTGCGCTTGCCCCCGTTGCGGTCAGCTGAGCGAGCAGCAGGCTTGGCCTCACCGGCCTTGGCCTGCTTGCCGCCCTTGCTGCTGCGACGCGCGGATGGACTCTTGCTGTTGTCCTGCGACTCCAGGAAATGCGGATGGTGGTACACCGCCGCGGCACCCGCGGCAGCAGAAGCTGACGTGGCAGACAGCATCGGGAGGGAATCGCCCTGATCCAAGGCGTAAGAGACAGCGGAGAGCTGGGCGGGCGGGGAGGCATCGGGGGAGAAGAACTCGTCTAAGGGGGAACCGATGGTGAACGCCACTTGTTTTGACGCGCTGGTGAAACCGGCGACTGCGGGAGCGGAGGAGGTGGCGGACGGAGGGTGCGCGCAATCAGTGAGGGCGGAAAGGTATGGCGCGGCTTTCGGAGAGGCGATTGGGGAGGGCATGAGGGGGAATACGTCGGGAAGGATGACGCCGCTGGGCAATGCGGGGAAGTCGGCGGCCTCAGCCGCTGCGGATGCGGACTTCGCGGTGGGAGAGGGGGCGGGGTTCGGTTTCGGAGAGGGGGGTGCGCGAAGGGCCGCCGTAACAGCGGCAACAGTCGCAGCGGGTGGCGCGGCGGCGGGTTCAACGGCGGGACGGGGCGCGGTAGCGGAAGCATTGGTAGCATTGGCAGCGCGCCATGATTCCCGGTGCGAGTCCTTGAAGCGGCCGCTGAGAATGTCGTCTACGATCGCCTGAACGCCCCTCGGTGCTGCCGCGGCCACGCTCCCCGCCTTAGTAGCAGCGGGAGAATCAACGACGGAGACGGGGCGGCGGCGGGAGGGACCAGCAGAGGGGCTAGCAGCGGCTGCTGACAGCACGGGGAGCGGAAGAACAAGCGGGGCTGAATCAGTTGCTTCCGCCGGGAGCTGTTCTCCCGGGGCAACGGCTCCGTCGCTCGCGGGCAAGACATTGGCCCAAGAGACCACGGGGACAGCGTCTTCCGCGGGACGCGCTACGCACGTGTCGAGAATTGAGCCGACGAAGGTGGGCTGCGGAGAGGGTTGGAGGTTCAGGAGCAGAGGAACGACGGCCGGTGAGATAGCAGATGATGCGGGCCTGCGACTGAACTGGCTGCGGTACGGGCGATCGAGGTCAGTTGCGGGGAGCGCGGGGGGATGTTGAGTCGGTGCTTGCGGGGAGGAATAGCTGGGGGGATCAGCGGCAGACGCGAATTTCGAAGCGGCAGATGCGGCGCTGGTGGCTGCGGGGGATGGTGCGGCGGGCGGGTTTTTCAGCGGCCTGAGGAGATGCGCGATGAGGTTGTCCGAGAGCGGCGCGTGTTTCGCCCCCGCTGCGCGCGCTTGTGAGAGAATGACTCGCGATGCCATGATGGCGGTGTCACGAACATGTGCTGCGGAAAATATGGATTATACTGATGAAGCTACTAGCACGGTTAGCGAGCGAAGATTAACGAATCGGCTGCTGCAGTAACGCGCTTGTCTTGCTAGGTGCGGCAGTAGCAGGAGAGGCAGCAGGGAGCCAAGAGCACGCGAGGAGCGCACCGAGTTTGGCTACGCAGCAGACAGAAACGAGATGGAGACGAGGATGGAGGGTGCAGGCAACGCAAGCTGATGGACAGGCGGTGATTGTGAGAAATGCTCCGAAAAGGAGGTTATGTTCTTGAAGTCCAAGCCAAGACAGCTGCCGTTGGGAAGGGACGAGGTGAGTGAAGTTGGGGCAGCTGGTGAGAGTCGAGCTGCAGACAGCAGGGCAAGGAGGAACACTGCTGGAGAATCATGGAAAATGCTGCTGCGATGCGATGAACGATGAGTGGCGGTGCGGGCAACTCGCATGAGGTAAGGCTGGCGAAGGTGCGGAACCAGTGAACGGCGATGACATCGGTGTTGGTGTTCACGAAGGAGGGTATCGACGGCTGTCATGACCACTAAAGAGTGTGCGAAAACCGTGTGACACGACTGGTTCGCCATGCCTCGCTGGAACGGTGCGGCGCGATGGCAAGACAGCAGTGCGTGGATGCATCTCCCAGATCATCGCTGCCGTAAAATATCGACGGCACAGACGTGCTCCGAACCTATGATCCAACGAAAGGGAAGCTTGTGGGAGCAGCCACCACACCGTCTAACATCGTGGTCATTCCGTTATCCTACAGAAACTAGGAGCTGTGAAACTCCTGCACTATATATATTCTGCACGGGGAATAAAATTAATCAGAACATTTTCCAAAGTCTAGTTACTTCATTCCAACCAACAACAACAGCGTGACGCCGTGTTCAAAATAGTGTGATATCTCTTGAGTTTTTTTAAGGGGCCTCTAACTGAAAAGGATTATGCAATATAATTTCAGCACATAAATGCAACTCATGCTATACTGTTAACTATTTCAGGTATAGTCTCCTTGTATGGATTTTCAAGTCTCCGTAGATGAATCGCCATAAACACTATCGAGGATTCTCAGCTGAGTAGCCTGGAAGAGTGGCGACAAGGTCGCATGTTAGGGCAGCAGAGCTGATGGCGGACGACGACAGCGGCCCACACTAGGCAATCTGGCATCATGCGCGTGGGAGCGAAGAGAGTGAACAGTAATATCGGCTGAGATTGGTGCGAGCAGTTGACCTTCTGACTGTACAGTATCCTCCCTGCAAGAAAGACGACGACAAGAACGAGGGTGGATGATCGCCTTTCACCATACGATTTTCGAATTTCACCGCTTGAAATCTTTCAGAAGCTTGCTTCACCTTTCTATAATCAATATACGGACCCACTTCCTGGAACACCAAAAGCTCTCAAGCAGCAACATCACGAGTCACATCACTCATCCACGAGAACTCGTCAGTAAGTCGTCGGTGACTGCCCATTTATCATACACGTTCTCAGGAACAGATGGACACCAACTTGACACCCTCAACGTCTACTTCCTAAAAGCACTTACTTAGTTTGTACGAAACCGCACCGCAGTCTCATGCCATCGCGGGGGATCGCCTCAACCGACTCCCCGCCTCAATCGTTCGCTTTCATTGGGCTCGAGCATTTCAGACAGCCTTTCATAGACAAAACAGTACTCTTACCATGCCCGTTTCTACTAATGCAGTAGTCTTTCCATTCTCCGCTGCTCCTTATTTACGTTGCTCGAACGATTATTCTCTTCCTTATAGAATTCCTGTTTAACGAATCGAGGCGAATCGAATCCTCGCCCATGCGCGCGGCAAGCGTCTGATCCAGATTCAAGCTCTATGTTTCGGCCGCCAATGGCGTCCCCGTTGGATGGCCTGACTCGGTCACTGAGCAGGAGTCTAGTAGCTTGGGCGGCATTGGTTGTCCTCATCGGCACGTTCGAATGCGCCGGTAGTAACGCGACGCGGTTGCTGTTGGCGGAGCAGCCGGACGACGGAGGCAGTCCGATTAATCTCACTGCGCCTGGAATTCAGAGCAGTACCGTTCCTGCGTTGGATCCGGCGGCAAACCCGGCGGTAGATCCGGCAGCGTCAGTTGCGGCGGAAGTTGCGCCAGAATCGCCGTTCGGTGGTTTCTGCCTGGGAAGTGAGGAGACATGTTCGCCGACTCCCGCCGGTTCTCATGAGCGCGACGCGAAGGAGTCGTCACGGATTGATGCCGCCGTCAACAAAGGAGGGCTAGTCGATGACGATAACAGCTCCACCAGCAACAGCGGAAGCAGTGACGGCAGCAGCAGCAGCAGCGGCGGCGTCGGCGGCGGCGGAAGCAGCGAGGCGGAGGTGGCGCGGCGGGTGAGCGAGCGAATGATGGCTTTAATCGCGGAGGGACGCGACCAGCTGGAAGGCGAGCGGCTCGAAGAGGCCGTCGCCACATACGATGAGGTGAGCGACGAGATGTGACGAGGTGTGAGACACGATGAAACGAGGTGCGCTAACAAAATGCGAGCCCAGATGTAACGAGCAAGACGAGACGAGGTGCGAGCCCAGTTGTAACGAGGTGCGAGCACAGGGTAACGAGGTGCGAGCACAGGTGTAACGCAGGTGCGTGGCGAGTTTCACGAGGTGAGGTGCGAGAAGTAACGAGGTGAGAGGCCAAATGTACCTCGGTGCAGCAAGGGAGGATGCCCAGCTCTCCCCAGCCCTAAGAAAGGTAAAATTCCTTTTCTTTCCGTTCCATAACGGCCGTCCCTTAAAGCCCCCTCCCTTAAAGCCCCCTCCCTTAAAGCCCCCTCCCTTAAAGCCCCCTCCCTTAAAGCCCCCTCCCTTAAAGCCTCCTCCCTTAAAGCCTCCTCCCTCCGCTGCTCGCACCCGCCCCGCCCCCTTGGCTGTCCCCACAGGCGGAGAGGCTGCTGCGGCGGCTGCACCAGCGGCTGTTGCACGGGCGCGGCGTGGCCAAGTCGCTGCTACAGCTGCACGAGCCGGCCGCAGCGGACTTCGAGCAGGTGAGCGCACCCCTGGTGTGCGTGTGAGGACTTTTGTGGCGCCTCAAAAGGTGAGCGCGCGCCTGGTGTGAAGCGAGTCGTGTGAAGCGTGTCGTGCGAAGCGTGCCGTGCGAAGCGTGTCGTGTGAAGCGTGTCGTGCGAAGCGTGTCGTGCGAAGCATGTCGCGTGTTTCCGTTGGCCCCTTCCATGCATGCTCTCTCCCTCTCCCCTCCTCCCCCACAGGCAGTGAGCGCCAACCCTGGCAGCGCAGAGCTGTGGATGGAGGTGATTGTCCAGGCGACCCAGAACATCGTATCACGTGCCTCTCTCGCCTCTCCTTCCCCACAGGCAGTGAGCGCCAATCCCAACGATGCAGAGCTGTGGATGGAGGTGGGGGCGGAGCGGGACGCACCTGGGCAGCACAAGAGGGCGTTCAGCTCTTAAGGCGCCTCAAAAGCCATGCTCTCTGGCCCCTGTACTGCACCCCTCCTCCCCCACAGGCAGTGAGCGCCAATCCCAACGATGCAGAGCTGTGGATGGAGGTGGGGGCGGAGCGGGACGCACCTGGGCAGCACAAGAGGGCGTTCAGCTCTTAAGGCGCCTCAAAAGCCATGCTCTCTGGCCCCTGTACTGCACCCCTCCTCCCCCACAGGCAGTGAGCGCCAATCCCAACGATGCAGAGCTGTGGATGGAGGTGGGGGCGGAGCGGGACGCACCTGGGCAGCACAAGAGGGCGTTCAGCTCTTAAGGCGCCTCAAAAGCCATGCTCTCTGGCCCCTGTACTGCACCCCTCCTCCCCCACAGGCAGTGAGCGCCAATCCCAACGATGCAGAGCTGTGGATGGAGGTGGGGGCGGAGCGCGAGGTTCTGGGGCAGCATGAGAGGGCGTTCGAGGCGTTCAGCCGCGCCCTGGAGCTGCTGCCGGGCAATGCAGAGGCGCTCAAACGACGAGGTGCGTGACGAGTGGGGCGAGGGGAGAGGGGAGAGGGGAGGGACCGAGCATGGGGTGAGCTGCGAGTCGACTCACAGGGTATTACGAGAGGGCGCAGGAGGATTTCAGCCGCGCACTGGAGCTGTAGCCAGGCAGTGAAGAGGCGCTCATGCGACGAGGTGTGGTGCAGTGTGGTGCGGTGTGGTGCGGTGTGGTGCGGTGTGGTGCGGTGTGGTATGGTGCGGTGCGGTGCGGTGTGGTGTGGTCTGTGTGCTCTCAGAAGAACGTGCGTTTGCACTGCCACTGCCGACTGTAGCGCCTCCCCGTCCCAACTCGCACGGCTCTCCTTCCTCCCCTGTCAAAACTTTCCTCCTCCCCCCCATGCCCCTTCCCTCGTGCAGGGCTGAGTGCGGTCAACTGCTACCGCTTCAACGACTCCCTAAAAGACCTCCTGCCCCCTTTTCCTCCTTCTCCCCCCCCCCCAACTTCCCCCTTCCCCTTCCCACCCCAACTTCCCCCTCCCCCCTCCTTGTATCGCAGGGCTGAGCGCGTTCAACTGCTACCGCTTTAGGGACGCCCTCAAAGACCTGCTGCCCGCGCTGCATATGCTGCCGAACGATGCCGACCTCAACCGCGCCGTGGTGAGACTTGAAACAAGCAGCTCAGCCCAGCGCAGCCCATCGCAGCCCAGGTGGACTGCCACGTGGACTGCCAGGTGGACTGCCAGGTGGACTGCCACGTGGACTGCCAGGTGGACTGCCAGGTGGACTGCCAGGTCATCCCACTCCAGCCATTGTTCCGCTACTCCCGCGCCTTCTCCTCCTGTGCCCCTCAGCACCGCTTCTCCCAGCCGCCCTCCTACTGCCTCCCCTTTCCCCTCCTCCCCTCCCCCCACTCCCCTCTCTCCACTTCCCCCTCCTCCCCACTCTCCCCCTCTTTCCCCACATTTCCCCCTTATACTCCGTTCCCCTTTCCTTCCCCAGGGAATTGCATTGGTGCGGTCGAACCAGTTCCGGCCAGCACAGCCGTACCTGGCGCGGGCGGTGGAGCTGCTGCCAGGGGATGCGGATGTGCGCAAGGAGAAGGGGCGGCTGCACCGCCTGCTGGGGGAGACCCACCAGGCTGAGACGGACCTGCTGCACTCGCTCGAGCTCGGGCAGTAAGTGCTCTGCTCCTTACTCCCTGCGGAGGTGCGCAAGGAGAAGGGGCGCCTGCCCCCCCCCTTGCTGGGGGAGACAGATGAGGCTCAGAGGGACCTGTTGCTCTCGCTCCAGCTGGGACAGTAGGTGCTCTGCTTGCTCTGCTCTTCTTTGCTCTTTGCTTCTCTGCCCTGATCCTCACACCCTCCCTTGCTGCCTCCCTGCCTGCCCACCGTCCTTCTCTGATGCTCTCTTTCAGGGTCCGTTGGTCTCTGTGCTTCGCCTGCTCCATGCTTGTGCTTCGCCTGCTCCATGCTTGTGCTTCCTCACTCCCTTCCCTCCCCCGCACTCGCTCGCCCTCGCTCCATTTTCACTCGCTTATTCTGGCTAACTCACTCTTTCTCTCCCTCGCTATCAATCCACTTCCCTGGCAGGATACTAGAGACGCATCATAACCTGGTGCTGCAGAAGCGGCTGCTGGGCGATCACTGGTGAGCACCCCACACCCCGCACCCCGCACCCCGCAGCTCGCAACCTGCCCACCGCCGCACACCGCCCACCACCCATCACTCACCGCTCACCCCTCCTCCCGCATCGTCTCATCTCAAATTCCTTTCAACCTCCAACTGCTCTCTATGTTTTCCCTCCCTCTCCCCCTCCTCTCCGCACATTGCCTCGTCTCCTCGTTCCCTCGCCAGGGGGGTGATTCGCATGGCAGACGCGGGGCTCAAGGCGTTCCCAGGCGAGCTGGAGATCATGCACGCCAAGGCGTCCAGCCTGCACGTGGTCGGGGAGCATGCTGCTGCTGTGAGTTACACGTGACGAGTCTCCCTCTCCCTCTCATGCACCAACACCACCATGCCGTGCCATACTCTCCCTGCATGCACCAACAACACCATGCCGTGACATACTCTCCCTGCATGCACCAACAACACCATGCCGTGACATACTCTCCCTGCATGCACCAACAACACCATGCCGTGACATACTCTCCCTGCATGCACCAACAACACCATGCCGTGACATACTCTCCCTGCATGCACCAACACCACCATGCCGTGACATACTCTCCCTGCATGCACCAACAACACCATGCCGTGCCATACTCTCCCTCACATGCACCAACAACACCATGCCGTGACATACTCTCCCTGCATGCACCAACAACACCATGCCGTGACATACTCTCCCTGCATGCACCAACAACACCATGCCGTGCCATACTCTCCCTGCATGCACCAACAACACCATGCCGTGACATACTCTCCCTGCATGCACCAACAACACCATGCCGTGCCATACTCTCCCTGCATGCACCAACAACACCATGCCGTGACATACTCTCCCTGCATGCACCAACAACACCATGCCGTGACATACTCTCCCTGCATGCACCAACAACACCATGCCGTGCCATACTCTCCCTGCATGCACCAACAACACCATGCCGTGACATACTCTCCCTGCATGCACCAACAACACCATGCCGTGCCATACTCTCCCTGCATGCACCAACAACACCATGCCGTGACATACTCTCCCTGCATGCACCAACAACACCATGCCGTGACATACTCTCCCTGCATGCACCAACGACACCATGCCGTGACATACTCTCCCTGCATGCACCAACAACACCATGCCGTGACATACTCTCCCTGCATGCACCAACGACACCATGCCGTGACATACTCTCCCTGCATGCACCAACAACACCATGCCGTGACATACTCTCCCTGCATGCACCAACAACACCATGCCGTGCCATACTCTCCCTGCATGCACCAACAACACCATGCCGTGCCATACTCTCCCTGCATGCACCAACAACACCATGCCGTGACATACTCTCCCTGCATGCACCAACAACACCATGCCGTGACATACTCTCCCTGCATGCACCAACAACACCATGCCGTGACATACTCTCCCTGCATGCACCAACGACACCATGCCGTGCCATACTCTCCCTGCATGCACCAACAACACCATGCCGTGCCATACTCTCCCTGCATGCACCAACAACACCATTCCGTGCCATACTCTCCCTGCATGCACCAACAACACCATGCCGTGACATACTCTCCCTCACATGCACCAACAACACCATGCCGTGACATACTCTCCCTGCATGCACCAACAAAACCATGCCGTGCCATACTCTCCCTGCATGCACCAACAACACCATGCCGTGACATACTCTCCCTGCATGCACCAACAACACCATGCCGTGCCATACTCTCCCTGCATGCACCAACAACACCATGCCGTGCCATACTCTCCCTGCATGCACCAACAACACCATGCCGTGACATACTCTCCCTGCATGCACCAACAACACCATGCCGTGACATACTCTCCCTGCATGCACCAACAACACCATGCCGTGACATACTCTCCCTGCATGCACCAACAACACCATGCCGTGCCATACTCTCCCTGCATGCACCAACAACACCATGCCGTGCCATACTCTCCCTGCATGCACCAACGACACCATGCCGTGACATACTCTCCCTGCATGCACCAACAACACCATGCCGTGCCATACTCTCCCTGCATGCACCAACAACACCATGCCGTGCCATACTCTCCCTGCATGCACCAACAACACCATGCCGTGCCATACTCTCCCTGCATGCACCAACGACACCATGCCGTGACATACTCTCCCTGCATGCACCAACAACACCATGCCGTGCCATACTCTCCCTGCATGCACCAACAACACCATGCCGTGCCATACTCTCCCTGCATGCACCAACAACACCATGCCGTGACATACTCTCCCTCACATGCACCAACAACACCATGCCGTGACATACTCTCCCTGCATGCACCAACAACACCATGCCGTGCCATACTCTCCCTGCATGCACCAACAACACCATGCCGTGACATACTCTCCCTGCATGCACCAACAACACCATGCCGTGCCATACTCTCCCTGCATGCACCAACAACACCATGCCGTGCCATACTCTCCCTGCATGCACCAACAACACCATGCCGTGACATACTCTCCCTGCATGCACCAACAACACCATGCCGTGACATACTCTCCCTGCATGCACCAACAACACCATGCCGTGACATACTCTCCCTGCATGCACCAACGACACCATGCCGTGACATACTCTCCCTGCATGCACCAACAACACCATGCCGTGCCATACTCTCCCTGCATGCACCAACAACACCATTCCGTGCCATACTCTCCCTGCATGCACCAACAACACCATGCCGTGACATACTCTCCCTCACATGCACCAACAACACCATGCCGTGACATACTCTCCCTGCATGCACCAACAACACCATGCCGTGCCATACTCTCCCTGCATGCACCAACAACACCATGCCGTGACATACTCTCCCTGCATGCACCAACAACACCATGCCGTGCCATACTCTCCCTGCATGCACCAACAACACCATGCCGTGACATACTCTCCCTGCATGCACCAACAACACCATGCCGTGCCATACTCTCCCTGCATGCACCAACAACACCATGCCGTGCCATACTCTCCCTGCATGCACCAACAACACCATGCCGTGCCATACTCTCCCTGCATGCACCAACAACACCATGCCGTGACATACTCTCCCTGCATGCACCAACAACACCATGCCGTGACATACTCTCCCTGCATGCACCAACAACACCATGCCGTGACATACTCTCCCTGCATGCACCAACGACACCATGCCGTGACATACTCTCCCTGCATGCACCAACAACACCATGCCGTGCCATACTCTCCCTGCATGCACCAACAACACCATGCCGTGCCATACTCTCCCTGCATGCACCAACGACACCATGCCGTGACATACTCTCCCTGCATGCACCAACAACACCATGCCGTGCCATACTCTCCCTGCATGCACCAACAACACCATGCCGTGCCATACTCTCCCTGCATGCACCAACAACACCATGCCGTGACATACTCTCCCTCACATGCACCAACAACACCATGCCGTGACATACTCTCCCTGCATGCACCAACAACACCATGCCGTGCCATACTCTCCCTGCATGCACCAACAACACCATGCCGTGACATACTCTCCCTGCATGCACCAACAACACCATGCCGTGCCATACTCTCCCTGCATGCACCAACAACACCATGCCGTGCCATACTCTCCCTGCATGCACCAACAACACCATGCCGTGACATACTCTCCCTGCATGCACCAACAACACCATGCCGTGACATACTCTCCCTGCATGCACCAACAACACCATGCCGTGACATACTCTCCCTGCATGCACCAACGACACCATGCCGTGACATACTCTCCCTGCATGCACCAACAACACCATGCCGTGCCATACTCTCCCTGCATGCACCAACAACACCATGCCGTGCCATACTCTCCCTGCATGCACCAACAACACCATGCCGTGACATACTCTCCCTCACATGCACCAACAACACCATACCGTGACATACTCTCCCTGCATGCACCAACAACACCATGCCGTGCCATACTCTCCCTGCATGCACCAACAACACCATGCCGTGACATACTCTCCCTGCATGCACCAACAACACCATGCCGTGCCATACTCTCCCTGCATGCACCAACAACACCATGCCGTGCCATACTCTCCCTGCATGCACCAACAACACCATGCCGTGACATACTCTCCCTGCATGCACCAACAACACCATGCCGTGACATACTCTCCCTGCATGCACCAACAACACCATGCCGTGCCATACTCTCCCTGCATGCACCAACAACACCATGCCGTGACATACTCTCCCTGCATGCACCAACAACACCATGCCGTGCCATACTCTCCCTGCATGCACCAACAACACCATGCCGTGCCATACTCTCCCTGCATGCACCAACAACACCATGCCGTGACATACTCTCCCTGCATGCACCAACAACACCATGCCGTGACATACTCTCCCTGCATGCACCAACAACACCATGCCGTGCCATACTCTCCCTGCATGCACCAACAACACCATGCCGTGCCATACTCTCCCTGCATGCACCAACGACACCATGCCGTGACATACTCTCCCTGCATGCACCAACAACACCATGCCGTGCCATACTCTCCCTGCATGCACCAACAACACCATGCCGTGCCATACTCTCCCTGCATGCACCAACAACACCATGCCGTGCCATACTCTCCCTGCATGCACCAACAACACCATGCCGTGACATACTCTCCCTGCATGCACCAACAACACCATGCCGTGCCATACTCTCCCTGCATGCACCAACAACACCATGCCGTGCCATACTCTCCCTGCATGCACCAACAACACCATGCCGTGACATACTCTCCCTGCATGCACCAACAACACCATGCCGTGACATACTCTCCCTGCATGCACCAACAACACCATGCCGTGACATACTCTCCCTGCATGCACCAACGACACCATGCCGTGACATACTCTCCCTGCATGCACCAACAACACCATGCCGTGCCATACTCTCCCTGCATGCACCAACAACACCATGCCGTGCCATACTCTCCCTGCATGCACCAACAACACCATGCCGTGACATACTCTCCCTCACATGCACCAACAACACCATACCGTGACATACTCTCCCTGCATGCACCAACAACACCATGCCGTGCCATACTCTCCCTGCATGCACCAACAACACCATGCCGTGACATACTCTCCCTGCATGCACCAACAACACCATGCCGTGCCATACTCTCCCTGCATGCACCAACAACACCATGCCGTGACATACTCTCCCTGCATGCACCAACAACACCATGCCGTGCCATACTCTCCCTGCATGCACCAACAACACCATGCCGTGCCATACTCTCCCTGCATGCACCAACAACACCATGCCGTGACATACTCTCCCTGCATGCACCAACAACACCATGCCGTGACATACTCTCCCTGCATGCACCAACAACACCATGCCGTGACATACTCTCCCTGCATGCACCAACAACACCATGCCGTGACATACTCTCCCTGCATGCACCAACAACACCATGCCGTGACATACTCTCCCTGCATGCACCAACAACACCATGCCGTGCCATACTCTCCCTGCATGCACCAACAACACCATGCCGTGACATATTCTCCCTGCATGCACGTGCACACCCGCCTGACCGGGCGAGCTGGAGATCATGCACGCCAAGGCGTCCAGCCTGCACGTGCTCGGGGAACATGCTGCTGCTGTGAGTCTTGTGACCCGTGAGCCTTGTTATGCCCTCACCTGCATGCACGTGCACGTCTCTCTGACTGCGCCTGTACAACGAGTTGTTGTCATCTCCCACTCAGCCCAACGAGCAGACGTCCTACCGCGAGAGATCATTCTTCCAGTGCCACCTGCTTGCTTTTTGAGTTGACTCGAAAGTCACGTTCTCGCCTCCTCTCCCTCCCCGCCCACCCCACCCCATCAGATGCGCCTGTACGACGAGCTGCTCTCCTCGCCCGTCCAGCCCAACGAGCAGACGACCTACCGCGAGAGGACCTTCTTCCAGCGCCACCTGCTGGCCTACACGGTCTCCCGCCTGGACCAGCCCTTCTCTGCCTTCCGCGTTGACGACGACCTTGATGAGGAGTGGAGGGTGAGAGACATAGGGCGAGATGGAGAGAGTTGGGGGGGTGGGGGGAAGGGTAGGTTTGTTCTAGTGGACTCGACCAGCCCTTCTCTGCCTTCCGCATTGACGATGACCTGGATGAGGAGTGGCGGGTGAGCGGGGGGGGTGGGGTGAGAGGGGGGAAGAGAGTGGGAGAGCGGAGAAGGGTGGGCAAGGCATCAGGGGCGCGGGATGGGGGTGGTGGAGTGAAAGGCTTGTCCTTGTGTCAAGCTTGACGGGCAAGTGTTTATCGTTGCTCGTCAAGCTTACCGACTTCATTGCAACACCCCACCGACTTCATTGCAACACCCCACCGACTTCATTGCAACACCCCACCGACTTCATTGCAACACCCCACCGACTTCATTGCAACACCCAACCGACTTCATTGCAATACCCCACCGACTTCATTGCAATACTCCAATCCCCCTACTCATCCCCACTCCTCCCCTTCCCCTCTCCTCCTCCACCTCTCCCCGTCCCCCTCTCCCCTCACCCCTTCGCCACCTCCCCCTCCCCCCTCTTCTCCCCCCACGGGCGCCAGGGCAAGTGGGCCACAGGGGGGCGGCCAGAGGGCCTGCCGGGCTTCGTCCCGCTGGCGATTCCCGAGGACCAATTGCAAGCTGCCACGTGGCAGCGCCTGCCACGTCTGTCAGGGGCGGCAGTGGAGCTGGTGGAAGCGGCGGACCTGATTGGTGCTCGCACGCACTACGACACTGATGGCATGCTGCATAATACCCAGCAGGTGCGCATGGCATGATGGCTTCGCGTTGCATGGCATGGCATGGCATGGCGCAGGCAGTATGATACTGATTGTGATGTGTTTCATATGTGTTTCATACAGTATAATACATCTCACTATCCGTTTCATACTGCCTGTGCCAGGCCGTGCACCTGACAGTCAGTGTCACATTCAGGGCTTGCAGCAGTGCCTGCCACGTACCACCCTGTATGCCTCTGTGACCACTCAAATCCCTTTTTCCGCTTCTTCTCTTCCCCAATCCCTGCCTCCCTTCCTTCTCACCCCAACCATCCCATCCACCCCCTCCCAACCCTCAGCTGCGCATGGCAGGGCTGGCGGCTTGAGACGTGATGCAGCAGGAGAGGCGCACGCTGCTGCTCATCCCTTGTATCTCTCTTATCCCCACACGTCTCCCATCTCCCCTTTCCCACCCCTCAGCTGCGCATGGCAGGGCTTGCGTCCTTGGATGTGATGCAGCAGGTGCGGCGCACGCTGCTGCTCATAGCAGATCAGATGCGCATCGCCCCCAACCCACTCATCCTCAATCCTCCCATCGCCCCCTCCCACCTCTCATCCCCCACATACAGCTGCGCATGGCAGGGCTGGCGTCCTTGGATGTGATGCAGCAGGTGCGGCGCACGCTGCTGCTGATAGCAGATCAGATGCGCATCGCCCCGCTGCTCTTTGGCACCGATGGCCCGGATGGGGCGGATGAGCAGTGGCAGGAGCAGCTGGAGCAGGTGCTTCAGGAGAGGCAAGGCGGGCAGCGCACAGGCCGCAGCCGACAAAGCAGCAGCAGCGGTGGCAGCAGCGGTGGTGGCGGCAGCGGGGTTGGGCGGAGTATTTTGGACCGGTCTGACCTGGTGACGAGCTGGCGGCACGTGTTCCGAGTGCTGGTGGCGTGGAGGCAGGTGTCAGAGGCCCAGGAGTCCATCGCATGGAAGGCCTTTGGGAAAGGGCAGCGCTGGCCGGCTGACATGCTGTATCGCACCGACACTCCCATCTTCACCTGGGTCATGGGCACTGCGAGATACCTCGCTGTCTACCCCAAGTGAGTTGCCTTGCCTGTTCTCCCAGGTGAGTAGCCTTGCCGTGTAGGCCTGAGTCAACGTGTGGGATGTTTCTAAAAGGGGACAAACATGGTGAATCGCACCGACATGCCTATTTTCACCTTGGTCATGGGCACTGCGGGATACCTCGCTGTTTACCCCAAGTGAGTGGCCTTGCCTCCTAATTCAAGTGCCTTGCCTTGTACCATGTCGCCGCAACTCACACCATCCCCCGACTGGTTATTAGCAGCCCGACTGGTTATTAGCAGCCCGACTGGTGATTAGCAGCCCAAATTTCTCTTGCCCTGCTCTTTACATGCCGTCTTCCTTCCCTCCCTTCCCTCCCTCCCCTCCCTTCCCCCCCACCACAGGGCAGTGAACGTCACGCGGCAAGGCCTGTTGCAATCAGAGAGGGCGTTTGACACCAACACCCACCAGCCTTTCGACGTGCCTCGCTCCACTTTCGGCCCCCAGGTGTGCTCTCAACGCAAGCGCAGCACCCTCTCACATGCCACCCATGCCCCCATGCCCCCATGCCCCCCATGCCCCCATGCCCCCCATGCCCCCCTGCCCCCCATGCCCCCATGCCCCCCATGCCCCCATGCCCCCCATGCCCCCATGCCCCCATGCCCCCATGCCCCCATGCCCCCAATGCCCCCATGCCCCCATGCCCCCATGCCCCCCATGCCCCCATCCCCCCATGCCCCCCATGCCCCCATGCCCCCATGCCCCCATGCCCCCCATGCCCCCCATGCCCCCATGCCCCCATGCCCCCCATGCCCCCCATGCCCCTATGCCCCCCATGCCCCCTATGCCCCCCATGCCCCCCTGCCCCCCATGCCCCCATGCCCCCCATGCCCCCCATGCCCCCCTGCCCCCCATGCCCCCATGCCCCCCATGCCCCCATGCCCTCATGCCCCCCATGCCCCCATGCCCCCATGCCTCCCAACAGTTGGAGGCAGCGGAGGATCAAGAGAGGCTCGTCAACGTGATTTGTGTGGCAGTGGGAGTGAAGTGTTACTACCGATTCTCCCTCTAAAATCTTTGGACATTCTCTGAACATTCTTTGAACATTCCAACAGTTGGAGGCAGCGGAGGATCACAAGGGGATCTTCAACGTGATTGGCCGGGACTTTTACGTGCGCCTGCCGTGCTACAGCCGGGCATTCCCAGGGTTAGTGCGCCTGCCATGCTATAATATCATCCTGCCTGCCATGCTAAATCCTGCTTGCCATCCCAGGCGCTTGTAATTTCCCCCCTGGTTTGCACATGTCACTGTGTTGCAAGCACAGTAGGCCCTGCAAAATGCATCCTCAAAGCATCCTCATTTTAACGTAGCCCTGCTTTGATCGCCAGTGTGTGCCCAACCTTCCCCACATCACCCAACCTTCCCCACATCACCCAACCTTCCCCACATCACCCAACCTTCCCCACATCACCCAACCTTCCCCACATCACCCAACCTTCCCCACATCACCCAACCTTCCCCACATCACCCAACCTTCCCCACATCACCCAACCTTCCCCACATCACCCAACCTTCCCCACATCACCCAACCTTCCCCACATCACCCAACCTTCCCCACATCACCCAACCTTCCCCACATCACCCAACCTTCCCCACATCACCCAACCTTCCCCACATCACCCAACCTTCCCCACATCACCCAACCTTCCCCACATCACCCAACCTTCCCCACATCACCCAACCTTCCCCACATCACCCAACCTTCCCCACATCACCCAACCTTCCCCACATCACCCAACCTTCCCCACATCACCCAACCTTCCCCACATCACCCAACCTTCCTTCCTATTCTTGTACCATGTCATAAGCACTCAAGACGCTCTCACGCACGCGCTACCTTCCTCTTACCTCCTTCGCATCCCCTGTGCACCAGTGCTGCTTCTGAGTCGCATTGATTGCCCTTCCTCCCGCCCGCCCACCCTCCTGTGCAGGAAGGATCTGGGCGGCACAGAGTTTCGATTGCGGAAACGGTGAGTCATGTGGGTTCGTCATACACATGCATATATGCATACGTGCACGCACGCACACATGCACATGTGCACATGTGCATACATCCGTATATCCATGCCCGTGTTTGCCTTGCATACTCGGATCCTGCTCTTTGCTTATCACTTACTCACTTCTCCTTACTCTTTCCCCTCTTCTAATCCTCCCGTCCACTCCCATTCTCCTCTCCCAATCACATCACCAGCACCCCATCGCACCCCCTCCACCCTAGCCCCGTGCAGTGGAATTTGGCACGGTGACCACACTCCACCTGGTGTTTTTGAGAATTCTCCACCAACATCGACCTGGGGCAGTGGACTGCGGTTCCCCGCTCTCCCCTCTTGATCCCATCACATTCCCCGTTCCCCTCTCCCTCCCCCCTCCCTCCAGCCCGTTGGCAGTGGGACCTTTGACATGGTGACCCCCATCGACGCGGCGCGGTGGGACGCGGTTCCTCTCTCTCCCCTCCCGATCCCTCACATCCCCCAGCACCACTTCCCCATTCACCCCCTCTTCCCATTCCAGTCCCCTGGCAGTTGACTTTGACACGGTGACCCCCATCGATGCAACACGGTGGAACGCATTTGACTCGGAGCTCACAGCAGCGTGGCAGGGGTTCATGGAGGCCGCACTGGACCACCACACCAAGGCCACGTCACCACACACGTACCGCCAGCGCATCCAGGATCAGATCATCGCCATCGCATATTACTGGTGGGTCTTAATGCTGCCCATCCGTACGCTATTCTTGAGCTTTTCAAGAACCACCCACACGCATGCCTCCAACGCATCCAGGATCAGATCATCGTCATTGCTTATTACTGGTGAGTCTTCCTGCCGCCCGCCCACATGGATATCGCCAGCGCATCCAAGATCAGATCATTGCCATCGCCTACTATTGGTGGGACCGCCTGTTGCCGATCTGTAGGGATATCACTAGCGCAGATAAGCTCTTATGATTGTCATCGCGTATTGCTGGTGGGTCCACCTGCCGACCGCCCACATGCGTATTTCCAGCTCATCCAGGATCAGATCCCCCCTGCGCCGTGCGCTTTCTACGATCGGCGGGGGGACGCCGACTGCTTCACCTGCTGCTGTGCGCTTTATTGCACTTCCAGAACCCGAGTACTGCTTTCCCCGGCCCCCGCCATCCAGAGCCTTGTTATCCACGCCTGCGCCCACCTCGTGGTCTTTCTTATGCTCTCATCTCTGCCCCACAGCACACCACGCTCTGCTTGGTCACACCTTGTCTGCTCTACCCATCCACTCGCCTCTCGCTGTGCCCCGCAGGTTCCAGCTCATGCCGCTGTCGCGTGGATCGGCCATGGTGGGTCTCATGTCCATCCTCGGCCTATCAATGGCTGCCGGCATGGAAACCACAACGCACGTTCCCCGAGACATCCTGGTGAGCCCTGTCTGGTGCCGCTGGTGCCACATTGTTCCTTCATTTCATCTCCATCATCAATGGCTGCTGACATGGGAACCACAACGCATGCCCCTCGGGTCCTCCTGGTGAGTGCAGTCTGGTGCTGCTCGTACCACCTCCTTCCGCTGTTGCTCCTAGTCCCCTGTTGCTCCTAGTCCCCTGTTGCTCCTAGTCCCCTGTTGCTCCTAGTCCCCTGTTGCTCCTAGTCCCCTGTTGCTCCTAGTCCCCTGTTGCTCCTAGTCCCCTGTTGCTCCTAGTCCCCTGTTGCTCCTAGTCCCCTGTTGCTCCTAGTCCCCTGTTGCTCCTAGTCCCCTGTTGCTCCTAGTCCCCTGTTGCTCCTAGTCCCCTGTTGCTCCTAGTCCCCTGTTGCTCCTAGTCCCCTGTTGCTCCTAGTCCCCTGTTGCTCCTAGTCCCCTGTTGCTGCTCTTCGAGTTGCATTTTTGCATCCTCTCCCCTTCGTCTCGCTTCCTAATGCTGCTGATAGAGCCTCCGTTGCCCACCTGTCCCCTTCTGCATCTGAGTTGCTGGCTGACCCATTGTATCCTTCACCACACTCCACACTTGACGGGACCACGGCAGGTGGATTGGGAAGGGCTACTAGCCACAAGCTTTGATGAGTTCAAGCGGGTTTTGACTCCATGGCTATTTGAGAGAACGCAGCGAGCGCCGTTCCACCTGCCTAGCGTGCGAGACACGCTCCCCACGACACGACACGTGATAGCTGCATTGAGCGATGCTAGTGGGATGAGGTTGAGGGATACTGAATAGTGCATGACGCACATGTATTGTGAATGAAGCCAAGGTTGTGTCAGGCCAGGTTGAAGTGAGAATGGAGGGGCAGAAAGCCCACTCACATGCACCTGTGCATGCTCTGATGAAACTGACTCACGCTCATCGAACACACGCTGCAAACTACGTACCACATCAACAGTGGGATAAGCCACACACACCAAACCTTCCCATCCCACACACCACACAACACAAACCGCACACCGGTATACTGTACTGTCGAGAGTTGAACGAATGAGAACGAGTAGATTAAAGTAGGGCCTAGGCTTAGTAGCCTAGGCCCAAGTAGGATGTCGAGCGGGTTTTACCTAGGGTGAGTATCGAGTGAGTTGGAAGAGAAATTGGAGAATGATGGTTTCACTATAGGGTTCGAAGTACATATAGCATAGGAACCAAATAAGGTGCACCACCAACAACAGTTTAAATATCTACACTAACTACAACTACAAGCAGTTATAAAACATGACAAATATATTTCGACATGCCCCCATAATGCTTGTAGGTAGAAATGTAGTTACGCCATGCAAAAGAATAACAAGCAACAGCAGGTACTGCAGGCGGGCTAACATTGAATAGTTACCCCCTCCATCTCCTCACCCTCCTCCTTCCCCTCCCCCACACTGCTGCAGGAGCAGCAGAGAAGGGGGGAAGAGAGGAGAGGTGGAGGGACGGCTGCATGTTGCCTCACACCCGCCACCCCGGTACCACTCCCCCTGCTCCCCCACATCCTCACACCCTCCCCCCCCAGCGGCAGCTGCAGCGGTGGGACTGAAAGAAGGAGGAGGGGAAGGGAGAGAGTTGACCCAACACTCCAACACCCGCCACCCCCATACCCTCCTCCCCACGGCTGCAGGGAGACAAAGGAGGAGGGGGGTGGGCGGGAAGAAAGCCGCAAAGCGGCGAAACGGTGTCGGTGCAGATGGGTCAGGGGCGGCTTCAGGGAGAGCAGGGGCGGAAAGGCCCGTCGCGTGCCAGTGCCACGGGGCGCACGACGGGTAGGATAAGAGAAAGGGCCCGATCGTGTGCCTCGAGGCGCACGACGAGCAGGGCACCATCGTGTGCCACGGGGCGCACGATGGGCAGTTGAAGGGCACCGTCGAGTGCCACGGGGCGCGCGACGGGCAGAGAAGGAGTCACACGCCCGTGGGCGGGACAAGGTAAAAATCGTCACGCGCCCTAGGCGCGCGACCGGAAAATCTTAGCAGCGGAAGTGTAGGGCGGGCCCACAGGCCAGGACGTAATTCGCTCCGATAACATGTCGAGAGTTGAACGAATGAGAACGAGTAGATTAAAGTAGGGCCTAGGCTTAGTAGCCTAGGCCCAAGTAGGATGTCGAGCGGGTTTTACCTAGGGTGAGTATCGAGTGAGTTGGAAGAGAAATTGGAGAATGATGGTTTCACTATAGGGTTTGAAGTACATATAGCATAGGAACCAAATAAGGTGCACCACCAACAACAGTTTAAATAACTACACTAACTACAACTACAAGCAGTTATAAACATGACAAACATATTTCGACATGTACAAGGCTACCCTCACCCACAGGATTTATTACACAACCACAACCGCCCCAAGCTAAAGCAACAACGAGCAAAAGCACACACAGATTTAAGAGGCAGAATGCTACCAGCATGTAAGGAATTTTCCTGAATTCCTTATCGGGGTTGACTGCTTCGCGTACAACCCGATTTTCGGAGTTCGCACGATCGGCCGATTTCAACGCTGCCGAGGCTCCTTGCGTCGCCTTCGGCATTTCCATCGCCCAACCTGCACCCAACCTCGCTTGTCCGAGGTTTCCTCCTAGCTAGGCTAGCCCTACATTAGTCTGTGCATTCATTGTATTCGCAGTTGATTCAGTCACAGCCTCGTTATTCGTTTACCTGCGCACTCTCTTTACAACTCATAACACCTGGTATCAGAGCTACTTTCCTAGTTCACCCCGCTTTTCGAGGGTAGTTTGGTGGCACGGGTGTGGTTGGTTTAGTGACTACACGACGGTTGGTTGCAGGAATAGTTAATTCAATCCTGCTCGACTCCGATAGTTCGTGTTTTCACTTGCCGGGAGGCCACGGGTACCCGACTGCCTACCAGACGTAGTGCTAGGCACATGGATCAGGAGGCTGTTAATCGGCTGATGGCGCAAGTGGCAGAAATGAAGCAGGGCATGGAATCATCAATGGCGGAAGTGACAACGTTACGGGAGGAAAACGCCGAGCTACGCCAGACGCGAGGTGAAGTGCGTCAGGAGTCGCCTGTGGACGAAGGCGAGGGCAACACTCAAGCGATGAGCAATCCGCTGGATGCGCTCACACGTGACTTCGAAGAAGAAGATAGGCAGCAAGCAGCAGCAGCGCTAGTTGCAGTGACGACGATCAAGATAAAGCCCGCCAACCCGCCCTTGTTTAATCCTACGGACAAGACGGTTACGGTAAAAGGGTGGCTGTTCGGGGTCTAAGTCTTTTTTACTGCAGCCGGAGTTAATGACGACGCCACACGTATTAATTACGCGGTTTCGCTTCTTCGAGGTGCAGCGCTTGAATGGTGGCGCCAGACCTTGGAAACAGGGACGCCGTCAGGTGTGACACATGCGGCAGACGCGACCTCTACAGTGGTTAATCAAGTGGCAGAACCAATCTTCGGTGTGACCAAGATACGCACGTGGAAGGAGTAGGGCGCAGCCTTACGAGATCGCTTCGAGCACATATCCGCCTCGGAGCAAGCTCGCATGAAGCTGCGTGCATGGTCGCAGATGGCTTCTGTCCAAGACTACACAGCGTCATTTATGGGGTTCGCCGACCAAATTGACGACATGTTGGAAGCAGAGCGGTTCGATAAGTACGTCAGCGGCCTTAAATATGAAATACAGTTTGAGGTCCGCAGAAGCCGCCCGACATCGTTCCTCGAAGCAGTACGAGTGGCGGAGTCAACTGATGCGCTGATGCAGTACGCGAGAGCAGCTTCCAGGGATGGGAGAAGCTTTCGTGGCCAGACCCATCGGGCCACGATCAATGTCGTCCATACACCCGACCGCCTGTGAAAAGAGTAAGCAGGGATGAATGAACTATGAATGAAAGCAGTACAAATATGAAACCCTAACTGGGTTGTACCCCCTATGGGATACCCCACTACAGCCTACACAGCAGTATAAGCTATAGATATGTTCCGACACACCCCCATAGGCAAAGTGGGGGAGAACAAGGGGTCACAAGACCAGTCAAGCAAGACAAAGCAAAGCTCAGGGTGGATCACAAAGTCACCACACAGTCCGAGCACAAGAGCAAGGCCAAAGGCCAGTTCACAAGCAAGAGTACAGACATATATATAAAGCTAGACAAGCAAGAGCAGGTATATATATATGTCACAGTACAAGTGAAGTCAAGAGGAGAGCAAGTGAGGCAAGACAGGCACAAGACCCAGCTGGGTGCAGAAGCGCTGATGGTCACAAGGCGCAAGTGCCTTGGTGAACACATCAGCAGTGTTGGCCTCAGAGGCCACGTACGCAAGTCGCAACTGACCACGCTGCTGCAGCTCACGAGCAAGGAAGTAGCGGAGAGCAATGTGCTTCGTTCTGTGCTCCAAGCGCTGCTCTCGACACAAGGCCAGCATAGCCTTGTTGTCTACGTACAGCACTGGAGGAGAACGAGGCGGCTCTCCAAGGTCAGTCAGCAGGTAGGTGAGCCAGCGAAGCTCCTGTGCAGCCATGGCCCCGGCGTAGATCTCAGCCTCACAACTAGAGCCGAGAACCGAAGACGAGCGAGTAGACCGCCACGAGACAGAGCCGGAACCAAGGCTGAAGGTGTAACCCTGTGACGACCGCTGCGTAGCCTGGTCGTCAGCCCAAGAAGCGTCCGCGTGGCCGGTAAGGACCACTGGACTCCGCCCTCCAAGCACTAGCCCCATGCCTGACGTACTGCACAGGTAGCGCAATACCCTCTTCGCTGCAGCCATGTGCTCTGGTCTGTGTCTCCCAGGAGCAACATAGCGTGCAAGAATGCTCAGAGGGTATGCAAGGTCAGGTCGTGTGCAGGTCATCAGGTACATGAGGCAGCCAACAAGCTCCGCATACGGACCACTCGACTCTACGGACTCATCCGAAGGCAGAGCTGAGAGTGAGTGGCGAGTAGGCAGAGGAGTGGCCTGAGGCGAGGAGTGCGTGAAGCCGAAGCGCTGAAGGACCTGCTGCACCATGTGTGACTGAGTCAAGGTAATGGTGCGGCGTGCTCTGTCCCGAGTGATCTGCAAGCCAAGGTAGCTGCGCAGTTCACCCAGGTCTGTGCACGTGTGTCTCTTCAACAGCTCGGACTTCACGTAGGCGAGTCCAGCAGTGTCCGCTGTGGCAAAGACCAGGTCGTCGACGTACACGAGGATGTAGAACTGCGGCAGGGAAGTGTCGGTGCGAAGAAACAGCGACGGGTCAGCAGTAGAAGGAGCAAACCCAAGAGCCGCAAGCGTAGTCCTCAGTGTGTCGTGCCACTCACGCGGTGCCTGGCGGAGACCGTAGACTGGCCGTCGGAGGCTCCACTGGGTGCCAGGAGGGAAAGTCCCAGTGAAGCCAGGTGGACGGCGAAGCCAGATCTCCTCGTGCAGGCTACCCTGCAAGAACGCAGTGCTGAAGTCGAGAGAGTGAAGCTCGTAGTCGCGCTGAGCGGCTATGTGCAGCAGCACCCGAAGAGTAGTCATCTTCGGGGTGGGAGAGAAGGTCTGAAAGTAGTCAACTCCCTGCCGCTGACTGAAGCCACGAGCAACGTACCGTGCCTTGAAGACAGGTGGAGAGCCCGGCGGCCGCTTCACCCTGAAGATCCACATGCCACTGACGATGTTCGCCCCAGGAGGGGGAACCGCGTCAACGTAGGTGCCTGTGGACTTCCAGGAAGCCATCTCTGCATCCATAGCTGCCTGCCACTGAGAGGAGTAGGGACCCTCTACGGCCTCCGCGTAAGAACGCGGAGTCGGGATGTCTAGTGCATCCGGGTCTCCCTCAAGGGCAAGCAGTACAGACGCGAGATGAGGTGAAGCAGCCGCTAGACACTGTAACTCCTCCTGCCTGTCCTCTAGGACGTCCGTGCCAAGAGCACACTCACCCCCGACGGACGGAGGACAGACAGAGGCAGACTCAGCAACAAGACTAGCAGCGTAGTCGAGACGACAGCGAGCAGCAAAGTCGACGAGCTCAGCGACTAGAGCAGACGCAGCAGTGGACTCAAAAGAGGGGTCAGTGACGACAGTAGCAAGCAGACGCGTGACAGTGGGACTGGCAGCACGAAGAGAGTCCGACTCAGGGTCCGCAAGCGCAGGAAGAGAGGACTCAGGAGGAGAAGGCAAAGGGGCACGCAGAGGAGCAGTGGACGGACGAAAAGACATCCGGTGCGTGCCAGGGACAGGAGGAGGACGCTGACGCGAACTGCGACCACTAGCGCGAGCAGCACGAACAGGCGACGCGGGACGAGACGCAGGCTCACGACGCTCAGCAAGACCTCCAGTAGGACCAGTGTAAGGAGAGGGAGCAGGCAGTGGAGAGGAAGGCTCCAGTAGGGGCTGCGACTGGACAGGCGGTGGACCCTCTACAGGAGGAGAAAGACCAAGAACCTGCTGAAGGAGCGGAACGAAGTACGGCCGAGGCCGCGCGGCAGCTCCAGACTCAGCAGGGACAGCACCAGCACCCTCAGCGACAGCACCAGCGCCACCCACACCTCCAGCGGCAGGACCAACAGCAGCAGGCTCAGCACGAACGCCCTCAGCAGCTCCAGCTCCAGGAGGACCTGCAGGGCCAGCAGCTCCGGGACCGGCTGCACCCGCACCCTCGACGGTCGAAGAAGCTCCAGCTCCAGCTCCAGCAGCACCTCCAGACTCAGCAGCACGCCTCCAGCGGCGAGCAAACCACTCGCGCAGCTCCTGTGGAGAGAGGGGCTCCCGGCGAGACGCAGCAGCAGGAGAAACCCCAGGCTCAGCAGCTCCAGACGCAGCACCCCCAGGCTCAGCAGCTCCCAGCTCAGCACCCCCAGGCTCAGCAGCTCCCGACCCAGCACCCCCAGGCACAGCACCCCCCAGCTCAGCACCCCCAGGCTCCGCACCCTCCGCAGTAGCACCCTCAGGCCCAGCACCCCCAGCAGTAGCTCCCCCAGGCTCAGCACCCCCGCGCACAGCACCCCCAGAGTCAGCACCCCCAGGCTCAGCACCCGCAGCAGTACCAGAGTCACCAGTAACCTCGACCGGGTCAACGGCGTCTACCTGGGACACACCTGAGGGGGCAGGAACCTGAGGGGGGAGGGGGTCTACCGGGGGGGGAACCGGCACAAGGAAGTCCGGGGGAGGGGGGAGGGAAGGAGTGCGGTAGGGGAAGAGACGGTAGAAGGGGACTGACTCGTCGAACGTGACGTCCTGGGAGGACAGAACACGACGAGAGGAGGGGTGGTAAAACTGCCACCCTGGGGCGTCAGTGGGGAAGCCAAGGAAGACACAGGGAGCAGCACGAGGGGACAGCTTGTCCGCAGACAAGTCGCGGACAAACGCCCGAGATCCCCAGACACGGAACACAGACGCATCGCCAACCTTCCCCGTCCACAGCAAGGCTGGGGACATCGCTGGCCGAGAGACCCGGGGGTGAAGGTTGAGCTGATGCGCCGCGTACATCACCGCAAACGGCCACAGAAAATGGGGGGCAGCCGCATGCATCATGGACGTACGAGCGACATCCATGACCATGCCAATGCGGCGCTCAGCAATCCCATTTTGCTGTGGTGAGTCCGGAAGCGTGAAGGTCTGGCGGATCCCCCGTGCACGACAGTAGTCTCGCAGAAGGCGAGAAGAGAACTCTCCGCCTCTGTCAGAGTGCAGACGCAGAACAGGAAAGTCCGAGCCGAAGCTCTTCCTGAGCTGGAGACGAGCCTCGCGGATCCAGTCGATCAGCACCTCAGTGACCGCACCCTTGCTGCGCAAGGGGAGGACTGTGGTGTAACGCGAGTAGTCGTCAACCACCAACAGGAAGTAGCGCTCGTAACCCTGCCCACGGACGGGGGCTGGGCCCCACACATCCATGTGAAGCGTCTGCAGGGGAGCCTCTGTCGGGGGGAAGTGGGAGGAGTGAGGAGTAGCCCGGAGGCGACCCTCGACACAGGGGACACAGGAAGGTCCTGGCCCGGAGGGGAGAGGAGGGAGAGACTGGGGAAGACCAGAGACAAGGACACGGGAAGCCATGCTCCGAAGACGGGGCAAGGAGGGGTGGCCAAGACGGTGGTGCCACAGGAGAGTCTCGTGAGACAGGAGGCGACAAGAACAGGGGGCAGACTCAGGACCTGACCGGGACGCAGCAGCAAGTACCTGACCCGACGCAGCCACCTGACCAGACTCAGGGACAGGAGGAGACTCAACGGTCAGGGTGTAGAGACTCGACCCCGGCCGACGTGAGAACGTGGCCAGGTGTCGGCCTGTGCGAGCCTCCGTGCAGTGGGTCACCCTCTGACGCGCAGGAGTGAACTGGTGAACACCCCCATCCTGCAGGTCCGCTCCACTCACCAAGTTCGTAGAGAACGAGGGAAGGTACAGACCCGACAGGGTGCCCGAAGGGGCAGCCGGACACGGGAGGACAGTGGAGAAGTGAGACAGGACAGGACCCCCAGAGGGGTCAGCAAGGGAGACCGCAACCGGCCTGGCGAGCGGCGAAAGGGTAGTGCGGTCTCGAAAGAAGGAGCGAGAAGCTCCGGAGTCAAGTGTGAAAGTGAGGGAGGACGAGGACGACTCAGTACCTGAGAGCGCAGTCTCACCAGTACCTGAGAGCGCAGACGCACTGGCACCTAGAGCAGCAGCCTCACAAGCACCTAGCGCAGCAGTACCAATGCCCGGGTCGGGCTGAAAACACCGGTAACCCTCATTCTCCTCACTATAATCCACAACATACATAGCAGTAAGGATAGCATCAAAATCAAGATCAAAGATCGCTACACCAGCCCTGAGAAGCTCATCCCAGCGAGGGATCTCACTAGCCCCAGGGAACTGCTGACGCCAAGCGTCCGTCAGGCGGCCAAAGCAGCGCTGGGTGGCGTGGGCACCCCCACACTGCTCACCCGCGCGGTCGCCGGAACGAAGAACGTAGGTGCAGGGACCAGTACCCCCACCCCTCTGACGCCCAGCGTACCACTCACGAAGCTGCTGAGGCGAAGGGATGTCCCGCGAGCGCTGCTGCTGCTGCCGGTGCGAGCGCTGGCCACCACCACCGCCGCTACGCTGCTGGGTACCACCCCGACCAGCTCCACCTCCTCCACCACTACCGCCTCCTCCGCTGCCGCCTCCACTGCCTCCACCTCCGCCGCCTCCACCTCCGCCGCTGCCTCCACCACCACCGCTGGCACCACCACCACCGTCTCCGCCGCTGCTGCCGCCACCACCACCACCACCCCCGCCACTAGCCCCGCCGCCACCCCCACTCCCTCCGCCGCCACCGCCGCCACCGCCACCGCCCCCTCCAGCTCCACCCGCGCCCTTGCCCCCCTTGCCCTTGCTGGAGCGACGTCTCCCACTAGGGGCAGACGCCGCGCCGACCGACTCAAGACCAAGCAGGTCGGCAGCAGCAGCAGCAGAGGCAACAGAGGGCAGCAAGGGGGAAGGAGAGCACCCCTCAAAGATGGGGGTGCGAGGGTCACCACGAGAAGCACCTACAGCGACTATGCTCTTCTCCGCTGCAAGGAGGGCCTTCTCGAGGAGGTCGACGGTGAGAGTGGTGGGACAGACTGCGAGAAAGTGGTCCCTGACGACGCGAAGGGAGTCAGGGAGGCGTGCGACTACGTAGTAGAGAGCGATGTACATGGGGGGGGGGTTCTTAGCGCAGAACTCAGCAGGAAGGGCGGCGCGGTAGCGAGTGTCACTAGTGCGGAGGTGCGTAATGAGGTCAGCGACAGTGGGAAAGGCAGAGAGGTCAGGAAAGAGGTAGGGAAGCATGAGACGGCTCAGTGCAGCAGTGGCAGGGGAGGAGTAGCGCGCAACTACAGCGTCGTACAAGGTCTGAGCACTCTTGTACTGACTAAAGTGCGCACGCTCAGAGGTAGGGAGGTGGCGACGCACAGCAAGACGTGCAGCAGCATCGCGGGTGGCCCACTTAGAGCGGACAGCGGGATCAGCATCAGCAGCAGGGGCAGGAGAGGCGCCAGAGGTGAGGTCAAAGAGAGAAAGGTCGTCAGCCCTGTCGCACTGTAAGAATAGCTGCAGGTCGTCTAACCAGACCTCAAAATCAATGGCGCGACCCTCAGCGTCAAAAGCTAGGACACTAGGGGTAGCCATGACGACGACTGTGAAGCAGTGCAAGCAGTAGGGGGGAGAGCACGCAGTGACAGTGGGACTGTGCTCACCAGGCAGGGCAGGTCGCGCAGCTCGACAGAAGAGCAGAACGGCGACCGGGCGGCTCAGGTGTACAGCGGCTCGGCTCCCGGGCGGCTCGGCGGCAGGGCGGCTCGGGTGCAGGGCGGCTCGGCTCCCGGGCGGCTCGGCTGCAGGGCGGCTCGGGTGCAGGGCGGCTCGGCTTCCGGGCGGCTCGGCTGCAGGGCGGCTCGGGTCCCGGGCGGCTCGGCTCCCGGGCGGCTCGGCTGCAGGGCGGCTCGGGTCCCGGGCGGCTCGGTGACAAGCGGCTCGGGTCGCGTAGAAGTGAGACGGGGCGGGGCCGCGTCAGGGCCGGCGGTAGGGCCGCGTAGGAGCCGGGGCAGGGCCGCGAAGGAGCCGGGGCAGGGCTGTGATAGGAGCCGGGGCAGGGCCGCGTAGGAGGCCGGCGGTGTGGCCGCGTAAGGGCCGCGTAAGGGCCGCGTAAGGGGCCGGTGCGGGGCCGCGTAAGGGCCGCGTAGGAGCCGGCGCGGAGCCGCGTAGTGGCCGGGGACGGGGCCACGAAAGGGCCGGGGCTGGGCCGCGTACGGAGCCGGCGAGGGGCCGCGTAGGAGCCGGCGGCGTGGCCGCGTAAGGGCCGCGTAAGGGCCGCGTAAGGGGCCGGCGCGTAAGGGCCGCGTAAGGGCCGGGGCGGGGCCGCGTAAGGGCCGCGTAAGGGCCGCGTAAGGGGCTGGCGTGGGGCCGCGTAAGGGCCGCGTAAGGGCCGGGGCGGGGCCGCGTAAGGAGCAGGCGGCGGGGCCGCGTAAGGAGCAGGGCGGGGCTGCGACAGAGTGGGCGGCGAGGCCGCAGAGGAGAGAGCGACTCGAGGGGTCGCTAAAAAAAAATTCGCGCCTCGGGGGCGCGCTTCGGTGGGCCCAGAAATTTCGGTCCTGGAGGGACCTAGCTCTATACCATGTGAAAAGAGTAAGCAGGGATGAATGAACTATGAATGAAAGCAGTACAAATATGAAACCCTAACTGGGTTGTACCCCCTATGGGATACCCCACTACAGCCTACACAGCAGTATAAGCTATAGATATGTTCCGACACCGCCCTCCTAAGGGTTAGTGTTTTCGGTGTGGGAAGGTGGGTCACTACAGGAAAGACTTCCAGGAGAAAATGCCGCTGACACGGGACGACAAGAAGGAGCAAGGAAATGGGAAGAGTCAGTAATTAGCGGGCCCTTTACTGACTGTGTTCCGTTGCCCGAACACCATCATCCCCGCCGAGTCGTGGTTCCGATTCATGCAATCGATCGCACTCGGCCGAATAACGTGGATAATCATGTGGATCACCCTGTGCTGGTCGCTGGCAAGGTGTTAAAAAATAATTTGAAAATGTTCGTCGATGGAGGGGCCAGCCATAGCCTCTTCAATTTGGCGAGCGCAAAACGATGCAAGCTGCAACTTGACAGGTGTCTGCCCGAAATCGACGCACGCCTCGTGGATGGGACGACTTTGGCGATAACGGAAGAAACACGGACGGTCAAGATCGAATGCGGCGACGATTTCGGCTTCAGCATGAAATTTCTCGCGACAACAATGGACGGCTGCGACGTGTTACTGGGACGCGATTGGCTGCGACGACACAACCCCGTCATCAACTCGACAACGTGATCGTGCAGCATCTGTGAGAATAGGTAAACAGGAATGAAAATGACTAAGTCAGAAATTGGTACAAATGGGAAACCTAATTGTGTTGTACCCCTTATGGGATACCCCACTGTAGCCTACACAAACAGGTAAGCTATATGTTCTGACACACCCCCATAGGCAAAGTGGGGGAGAACAAGAGGTCACAAGACCAGTCAAGCAAAGCAAAGCAAGCTCGGGGTGGATCACAAAGTCACCACACAGTCCGAGCACAAGAGCAAGGCCAAAAGCCAGTTCACATGCAAGAGTACAGACATATATATAAAGCAAGACAAGCAAGAGCAGGTATATATATGTGACAGTACAAGTAAAGTCAAGAAGAGAGCAAGTGAGGCAAGACAGGCACAAGACCCAGCTGGGTACAACAGCGCTGATGGTCACAAGGCGCCAGTGCCTTGGTGAACACATCAGCAGTGTTGGCCTCAGAGGCCACGTACGCAAGTCGCAACTGACCACGCTGCTGCAGCTCACGAGCAAGGAAGTAGCGGAGAGCAATGTGCTTCGTTCTGTGCTCCAAGCGCTGCTCTCGACACAAGGCCAGCATGGCCTTGTTGTCTACGTACAGCACTGGAGGAGAACGAGGCGGCTCTCCAAGGTCAGTCAGCAGGTAGGTGAGCCAGCGAAGCTCCTGTGCAGCCATTGCCCCGGCGTAGATCTCAGCCTCACAACTAGAGCCGAGAACCGAAGACGAGCGAGTAGACCGCCACGAGACAGAGCCGGAACCAAGGCTGAAGGTGTAACCCTGTGACGACCGCTGCGTAGCCTGGTCGTCAGCCCAAGAAGCGTCCGCGTGGCCTGTAAGGACCACTGGACTGCGCCCTCCAAGCACTAGCCCCATGCCTGACGTGCTGCACAGGTAGCGCAATACCCTCTTCGCTGCAGCCATGTGCTCTGGTCGGTGTCTCCCAGGAGCAACATAGCGTGCAAGGATGCTCAGAGGGTATGCGAGGTCGGGTCGTGTGCAGGTCATCAGGTACATGAGGCAGCCAACAAGCTCTGCATACGGACCACTCGACTCTACGGACTCATCCGAAGGCAGAGCTGAGAGTGAGTGGCGAGTAGGCAGAGGAGTGGCCTGAGGCGAGGAGTACGTAAAGCCGAAGCGCTGAAGGACCTGCTGCACCATGTGTGACTGAGTCAAGGTGATGGTGCGGCGTGCTCTGTCCCGAGTGATCTGCAAGCCAAGGTAGCTGCGCAGTTCACCCAGGTCTGTGCACGTGTGTCTCTTCAGCAGCTCGGACTTCACGTAGGCGAGTCCAGCAGTGTCCGCTGTGGCAAAGACCAAGTCGTCGACGTACACGAGGATGTAGAACGGCGGCAGGGAAGCGTCGGTGCGAAGAAACAGCGACGGGTCAGCAGTAGAAGGAGCAAACCCAAGAGCCGCAAGCGTAGTCCTCAGTGTGTCGTGCCACTCACGCGGTGCCTGGCGGAGACCGTAGACTGGCCGTCGGAGGCTCCACTGGGTGCCAGGAGGGAAAGTCCCAGTGAAGCCAGG